CTCATGGGTCGCGCCTACACCTCAACAAGAACGGCTTCCAACTTGGGGCGCGGCTGGCCCTCAGGCTCCTCGTAACGTCTGGGGATCGCCTAACAATGATCGCGGACTGGGCAACGGCACCTTTAATACTGACTTGGGTCGTTTGCCAGAGCCACAAGCAGCCGGAAAGGGTCCAGCACCTATAGCACCCCCCAGCGCGCAGCGAGCGCAGGTTCAGATGCCGCCCGTTCCCCAGGCTCGTCCTACCACGGGCAATGCTCGCGAAGTGAATGAGATGAGAAACAGATGGGCCCACTCGGTTCTGGAAGGGGACAAGATCGTACTCGACGAGAAGAGGTCACAGCGCCTCGAACGTGATCGGACTTTGGTGGAGCGCGGGCTTACTATTGAACAAGCACAAGCCACGATTAAAGATACTTGGCGGCCATCTGGAGACGGAAGACGCGATCCTGCACATGTTATTCACCACGATGTTGCTCGCGCTGCTGGCGCTGTTGACCATTCATCTGTATTACCCCCCACAGGACCGTCAGCTGCCACTCAGTCTCGAAGTTCCTCCAGGTTCTTCCCTCCCAAGGACAGCAGGCACGATTCCTCAGCTTCCCATGCGGAACCATCGAGGCCCAACTCACCTTCTCCACCGCCCCCGGATATGCTAGGTCATCCGGCCTTCGATGGAGACGCCATGCACCCTCACGTGTCTCTTCCCCGACCGCATCCCGTTGTCAAGTTACCACCTTCAGCTGCGGCGGCGCAATCAGCGGCAGCAAGGTCGACTGGGCCATTTGCTTGGGCAACGCCGGCTGGTTACAAAGATGGCCAGGCAGCTCATGGTCGTGGACCTTATCAGCAGAACCACGTATCCCAGCGGTCGCAAGATTCCGCAGGAAACGAGAACTGGCAAGATAGGATCAACAACCTGCTCACGGGACGAAAGCCCAACTCTCCACCAAAGGCACCCGGTGTCGAGCCTGTCACTAAGAGTGCTCTCGACTACTCTGGCCACTACGATCCGGCTACTGTCTCTCTACCTCGCTCAGTCACCCAGAACTTGTCAGACGATGTGAAGTCTTTCACTACAAAGCCACTGGCGGAGGAATGTTTCGAGGAGCAGGAAATGGGATCGCTTCCACGGATTCATCTTCCCCATAAGACTCCAGAGGCTGCATGGCAGCCTACTTCCGCCCCCATCAAGCCTCTGCCCAGGCGCTTCTGGGTTTCTGACATCGAGACTGTTCGCTCCTTGTGGTTCCCCCATGAGATGTCGACTAGCGGCAGTGTCTATCGCATTCTTCTTCCCGGTATGGCCGATGCCAGGACTGTTCCGCTTTCTTTCTCCAGATCAGGAAGCAATCCACGACGGTCCAGCGGGCGTGGTGGCGGTGGGCAGCGTGGATCGGGCCCTAATCATCGAGGCGGCAAAGGGCGAGAGCCTTCGTACTCTGGTGAGGCAAGCAGTTCGACACCTCCCCCAAGCCGAGGAGGTCGCGGTGGCTACCGTGGCCGCGGGTCCGAGAACTGGTCCCGCAGAACTACCCCAACGCAGGCAGCCTAAGAAGCTGCCATCACTACAACTTTCAAACCCCACACAACTCTGTTGACCTGTGGTGGTTAACATACACTACCAATCGCAGCCGGCAGTATCAACGGCCGACGAACACCGCACAAATATTGTTCCGCATGCTGCAACTGTAGCATGTACGAACTGCTCCGCCACGAGCGGTAGGCAGTGTGTACCATCTCGAAAACCTTGATTATTTTCGCAGAGAGCGCTTTGCGTTTTCAGACTTTACGGACCCTGACTCGATCGAATCGCTTTGGTCGGTCGATATATGAGCTTGACCGGCCGGGAAATCTGGCCAAGACGCGGACAAAGGGGTGGATGGAAGCGAGAGCGAAATCTTTTTGTGATTTTCTTCTCTTTCACTCTCACGACACAAACGAGCTCGATCTTCCTCCCATTGAATAACGCTACCAACCCGATACGAGAACCCCCTTGCCCGCCTTTTTAGGTCAGAGAGGAAAAACACTGGTCATGTTGACCAAGGTCCGGTGTTTCTTCGTACGATTCATAACCATGACACGCATAACGAACGGCCGGGAGGTCAAAGGAAGGTTGGCTGGCGGGTGTCCTGGGAGTATCGGGAGGGGCAACGCGGTCTTGTACAAACACCTGATGTGCAACGGAGAGGTGAGACTACAGGACTCGGAAATGGATGAGTGTCTTTTTTTTTAAACAAAGCGTTTACTCGGTCACTGCCAGCGGAAGGACAGTAGGCTACTTTATGGGCAGTTGACGTCCAGGGTAATTGCAGTTCAGAAAATACACAAACAAATAATGAAAACTCCGTTTTCACCGTGCCTTTGTCCATCTCGTCTTGATTGTGATGTTGTCATGCATGCGTGCTTAATTTCTGAGCTAAGGAAAAGTACCGGGTTTATCGAGATGCTCATTTGAAGGTGCAGATAATGTGACTTTGCGTTGGGTTTATGGAGGTTCGGGTGAGAGCATTCATCATGCCCTTATCGACACATCAGGCAATATCCAGAGACAAATTTACTATTCAAAGGAACATAAATAACTAAGGTATACAAATGGGGTATTACAAATTACAGTGCATATCAGGACGCCGAGTCGACGACCCACTCGGACTCGAAGGTCCCGCCGACGATGAGTGCTGCTCTCCTCCTCCTCCTTCTCCTCCTCCGTTCGTGCTCATGAACAGAATATCGCGAAGCTTCTTTGCTGAATCGCCTGGTCTTTCGTGGTGCGGTGGGGTCCCCAGGCCGACCAGCCGTAGGAACCTGGGGACGAGGTGGCGCCAGACTTGGCGGGTTGAGGGGAGGCATGCTACGATGATGCCGACGGAGAGTTCGATGTAGGACCACATGTGGAGGTAGAAGGCGTCGTCTGTTTGTTTCGAGGGCAGATTAGCATCGTAGGTATTTTAAAGGGGGAGATTCGTTGTGGGGATGGGGCCTTACAGGTTGGGTCTTGGAAGCCTTCGAGGCTTAGGAGGACTCGTAGACGGACTGCGCTGACGATTGTGATGCTGTTTGGAAGTGAGGTGTTAGTGCCTTTTCATGTTGAAGACGACTACATATCCCTAAACAGATTGCTCAAGGGGGTGATGAGGTAAGATCAAACTCACAAAACACCCAATCCAAACATAACCACAATCTCAACCTTTTGCCTCTTTCTCAAATTCAACCACAGCACCTGCGTGACCGGCAACCCCAACATCCACACATCCAGCGCGATATTAATCGCCGCGTGCGCGATGAACATGGCATAGACGTTAATGCAATATCCCGGGTGGCGGCCGTCCCAGGCCTCCCAGGCGTTGCTGAAGGGGCGGCACTGGTTCAGGTTGGCGACGGTGAAGGCGAGGCAGAATATGAAATTGAAGGCTTGGGTGCACCAAAGGACGAGGGAGAAGGTGCGGGAGACCATACTGAAGACGCGGATGTAGAAGAAGAGGATGGAGGCTTTGAGGGCGGAGATGGAGAGGGTGTAGATTACTTCAAAGGCGAAGAAGACTTGCATGAAGCGGGTTATTTCGTCGTAGGAGAGGGTCCAGATGTCGCGGCCGATGCCGAGTTGGTATCCTGTTATTTGTGTTAGATGAATTTCCCCTACTGGTATGTCTTGGTACATTGTGAGAGTGTCCAAGAGAAAACCTACCTTGGAACTTGGAAATGGCGAAAGAGATGGAAAATAACTGGCAAGCTGTCAGTTGAGCCATCTTCAAGTAAACGCCGGCAAAGGTCTTGCCGCGATGCCTGGTTGGATATTACATATCCCAATATCAACGTGAAGTCGTCCGGTCCCCACGTTGACAGCCTTAGGAACTTGGAGAGCAGCCGAGCCAGGACAAAGACGGCGGTGATGATCACCAGTGTGACTTTGCCGGCGATCGAACCCGTCTGGTGGTGATATGGATACCCGCATGTTGTCCATGTCATGTTCTTGGCAACTGAATGGGTCACTGTTAGCTAAAGTACATCATTCGCGTTACTCTCAATAACAAGATATAGTGGATGTGTATCATATCTACCAAGAAGCAAGGAAGATGACGGAGAGCTGTGCTCCGTAAATTGTCAAGCTAGGAAAAGGGGATGTCTCACGTAAAGACTGCTCCAAATCACACACCGCACGTATACAAACGCGAAAGGAATCAATGGCGTGCTTGTCCTGGCATAGGCATGTCGTCGTCAAGTTGGCGACGGCACATGTTGTAATGTTGACGGCCTGCGTCAGACACGGTGTCTAGAAACGCAACCGAAATCATCGTCAGCTTCAACTTTCCCATGACGTTATGTTATCAATCCCAGAAAGAGCCACAAAAAGCCCAACATATGGTAGGAAAACTCACGGCACAGTCCGGCAGGCCATCCGCCAACTGGAGCGCCATCGATGTCACAGCAAAGGTGGGCTTCGACAACAGCAAAGGTGCGGGGTCCGTTATACAGGAGCAATCTTTGCAGGCGGCGGAGGAGTGGTCGATTCAAGGAGGCATTACGAAAGAGTAGTCGTGGTAGTGGTGTATCCTTCTTCTACCTCTCTTCTTCTTGGCTCCTTTTTCGTACGTTTCTCCCGGTTCGCGGAGAGGGGAAAGGAAAAATAGAAGGAAAAGACAGGGAAATCCAGGCCCAGGGGTTCTGGGGAGGCCCGCCTGGGGATTAGACTGAGTTTATGTCTCATGGCAAAGAGCGAATCGATTCCTTGTTTGCGAAATAGTAGATCAAAGGAAGTCATTCGCTGCTAACGTGGTGATCGGGGGCCCGGGTCTAGCCTCTCCCAGGTACGGTGGCTGATTCCGTTTGCGGAAGACTATCAAGCTTGGAGAGGGAGGAAGAGAGATTAGAGAGACTCAAGCGATTGCGGAAACACACTTTTGAGTAGAAACTAGAGCCAAAACCCACAAGCTTTACAGTTTCTAGGTAATAGCTAGGATGAGAACCAAAAGCAGTGACGTCTCTGGGATCCCGGCGGTTTGGTAACAGCTCGCGGCAAAGCTGTGCATGCATTACCGTCTTCCCGTTGGTTGTCACTTGCAGGGGAGACGGAGCGGGGGACCCGAGATGTCGGATTCGTCTTACTTACGGAGACATGCGGCCGCCTCCTCCACCGTTCCGAAATCTTGGCATATGTTTCTTTCGACTCTTTTCAACGATTACAGTCAACTCTGCAGCTTTTTGATTACACTTATCAATGATGTATTTCTATTCGAACCTCATTTGAACCTCGGTCGTACCAAAAGAATGACCAGTCCCACGTCGCAGGAATATTCATGCCGCAATGTTTACTAGAATGCAAGGGCGCCGTACAAAGGCCAATGGTGCTCGTATATCCCGTTCCACTCCCAACAGCAATACTTAAGCGATGGCTATCTACTGACGGACCACCTACATGAGGACTGATTCCTGTCAGTCATCACAAACTCATTAAACTTGCATTTAAACCTTATCTGCCGAACTCCAAAATCAAGGAAGCCGGCAAACCGATCAAGACACAACGCACCCATTAAAGACATCCCGCAACAAGTTTAACCCCGGGCCACCGCCGCCGCCACAACCACCAAACGACGAGACCCCGTCTCAAGCCACACGCCTCTTACGACCACTTCCCATCGAGAGGTAGGTAGTCCGCTGATGTCAAAGGGAAGACCCGTGAAACCCCCCCACTCTCAATGACGATATCCCGCGCCTGAGGCTCTCCAGCTCTCCGGTAGCCTATACTTCAAGCCCTCAAATCCCAGCCTCCACGAGATCCTTTAATAATGCTTGGTTGTCCTCACCGCTGCGCCTCTGTCACTTTACAGTGAGCCACTTTATAGTGAGCCTAGAATCGTGTTCTCCGAAACCTTGGCTTCGATCTTTTCGTGGCTGGTGGAAACACCTAGCGGATCGGGGAAGGCGCCCGCGATATCATTTAGTTTTTTCCATCGCAAACCAAAGCCGCAGTGCTATTACATATTGCCGTTGATACTGGTGTGAAGCTCTTGCTCTGCCCGTTTAGCGAATGCAATTTCGACGGTCGGTTTTGGAAGTTCGTCAGCGGTAACAATACTCAGGTCTGGGTTCGGTTCCGTGTATGAATCCTTTCAGAACCTGGGTCTTGCGATTAGAAAGAACCCCATTGATCCCGGGACGTTTGGAATTGTAAGTACAGTAACGAGGATACGTACATGATTCTGTCCAATTTCCAATGTGAACCTTATAGAGGCGGGTTTTACTCAAGCGCATTGTAGAACCATTTCTCAGGTAGACAGGACAGGGATAAAACTGGGAGCAACGTAAAGCTTGAGAAAATTTCCACTTCTAGTCTAGAAGTTTGCTCATTGCTCCGTGGATGAACTTCACAGATCGAAGTCGAAGTCAACTGCTTGGCATGTGATCGATAAAGAATAGTGCTGTTTGATGAGAATTCTCCCCGACGTTGGTATCTTAGGGCTACCATCAAAATTGTATTCCGTTCTTCTGAACAATCACTTGCCATCGATACCTGACTAGAGAGGCAATTTCAGTGGCAACCATCTTGATCCACTAGGTATATGAAGTCAAAACCACACACTATAGCCATTATTCTGTAGCACCTTTTTTCATGACCACCTGGGCTTTTGCGAAACCGTCAGGAGGGATTGAATTGGCTTCTTTGTCTTATTCAGACTTACAGCTGGATTGCCAGGTTTATCCAACTCTTAGCAGAGCTATCGATCTAATTATTGTCAAACCCTTCCTTCCATCCTTCCTCCTCCCTCCCTCGCCAGCACCAGGAAATACACCCGAATATGCTGGCAACGGCAAGAGCTAGGGATGGGAAGTCGCAACCCCCTGGAATCCGCCTCGTCACCAAAGGCGAGGAGCGTGTTTTCCTTCATGTCATTTTCTCGACAGTGGTTCCGCCTTAGAGCTGGGCTGCGGTCTCCATCTGGGATGATGTGGATAGCGGGTCCTATCGGTCCTCAGTCAATCCGGTTTTTTTACTCGCCTCCGAGGTCTTCCATTCCAAGGAATCTTCCCACTCATGAACAAATCAATGTTTTCAAGTGACTGTACGTACGGAGAAGCCATTCAGATTCCTGAAGGTCTTAAGTAAACGTGGGATAGTTTACGCCTATGTGATAGGGTGACAACGAAGCAAATCCCTCGAATGTAGTCCTCATGGCGGTAGATCAGTTTCAATCAAGCTTAATACGAAGAGAGTAGTCACAAGCTGTGGAAAGTGACTGTTCGCCGTCTTATTTGACGTTATCTACGTCCAACGTGCTCGAGGACTTCCACGCAACACCATCCTTCATAGCCTTCAACACCGCCCCCAGCCTCTTAACACCCTCCACAACATCCTCTTCCGGCTCCCACGAAAAACATAACCGAATCTCCCGATCAAACCTCGCAGCATCCTCATCCCCATGCACCTCAAACTGCCCGCCGTGCCCAACCACAAGACTCTCCGTCTCCTTGGCCCGCACAGCAACCTCCCGACTCGACATGCCCTCGGGCAAACTAAACCACACAAAGTACCCGCCAAACACCTCGGCCCCCTTCAACGCCGACCCGCGCACAACAACCCCCTCGCCCAGCGGCTGTTGGATATACTTCGAGATAGCAGCCATCATAGCCCCATGCCGCCTCGCGAGCGCAGGGCGCGTCGCCTCGTCAAGCTGTCTCTGCAGCTCGCCGCTCTCGAGGAGCTCCGCGACCATCATGGCAGCCAACTGGCTCGGCGCGCCACCGCTGCAAGTCGAACCCGTCTGCGATAAACCATACGCGAACGCGGGACTGCCCTCGGCCCAGCCCGTCCGTACACCCGGGGCGACGATTTTGCTAAAGGAGCCGTTGGAGACTGCGTTGCCGAAGGAGGCGTCGGGGACGCCTAGGCTGCGGTCAATGTCTACGAGGCGGGGGATGCGCATTTCGGGCGTATAGCCTGGTCCTGGGGCGGTGGAGAGGGGCCATTGCAGGAAGTCGTAGACGTCGTCGGAGACGAGGAGGGCGTCGTGTTTGCGGGCGAGGTGGACGAGCTCGTGGCGGCGCTTGAGGGACATTGTTTTGCCTGTTGGGTTGGAACAAGTTGGGACCAGGTAGATGATGTGGCGGTAGAGCTTTCTCTTTTTGGCTTCTTTGAAGTGCTGTTGATGGATGTTAGCTCGAGTTCTTTTTCTTCTTCATTATTGATGGCATGCCGTGAGACTATTTACGATGAGATGAAGAAGAAGTGGGTGGGCTGCTCGTAGCAACACTCCAACGTAGAGAAACTCACCTCATCGCCGCCTTCTCCTGCGGCCTCGAGTCCTTTTCTTAAATACTCGATATCAATACCATCGTCATCCTCGGGAACAGCCTTTAGACGCCCGTCAAATCCAGCGTCAGCAAATATGGGGCAGGCGAGAAAGTAGCACGGCGCCACCATCCAGACATTCTTCGTATAGAGCGGATCAGTAAAGGACTGCAAGATACACGCCAAATTCTGGCTCGCGCCGCCCGTGACGCAGATGCGCCGGACGTCGGGCGGGTGGTGGCCGGCAGCGACGCTGGTGCTGTTGCTGGTGCTGGTGGCATCATCGGCGGCCAACGGAGGTGCGGGGTCGACGGCGGGGTAAAATGCTGCCAGCCAGCGGGCGATGGACTCGCGGAGAGGCTGGTATCCCGGGTCCGGACCGTACTGGAGCCCCGGGACGTAGGCGGCGGGGTCGGCCAGGGTCTTGACGGCCGCGGCGGAGAGGGCTGCGGCTGGGAGCAGGGATGGCGAGGGCCAGCCTCGGAGGAGGTTGATTGGCTTTTTGTGCAAAGGGACGTTCATTCTGGATGATGTGACGAAGTTTGTCGAGGCTGAGAAGAATCGCGGCGAAGGCGAGTGCGTAGAAGTGAATGACAGCCTACGAGTCTCTACAATGATCGCGCAAGTGGATGAGATGCGGGTATGGTGAGAGAGGAGTCGTTGGTGGCAAGTGAGGTGTTTTGATACAGTCGTCACGCTATGCTTCATTACCTCCGCTCGAATTTTTTGGTTCACTGATGGAATCTAAAGACGACCTTGATTGACTGCAAGGAATTGATTACTTATAGTTGTATGTCAGAGTGAAGGTCAAGGTTGTCGCCTCCGAATGCGGAGGCGCCAGAGATAGGAAATGCGCTGGCCCCACGCGACATTTCGCAATCATAGCGGGCGACCCTTGGCCGGCAATATCATCATCAATTCTTCTTCACCAAGACTGCTCAATCGAGTTGGGGTATGTTTGTTTATTGAAGAGTGGTAAAATATAGGGGTATCAAATGCTTTAAACACAATGTCTTTTCAAACGTCTCATCGTCGACACCAGCCAGTCTAAGGGACATCCCTTTTACCAACCCCATGTTCTCGTAGAAGCCGTAAAAACTGGCGGCTTCCATTGGATCTTGCTCGAGTCAATCAATCTTTTCTGCTTCACCTTTTGCTTCTCCCTTTGCTGAATCAGCTTCTCTGGAATCACAATCTTGTGCTCTCCCTTATGATACACCTGCATCTTAAGCGCCTGTAAGGTGTGCTCGACGTCCTGCGGAATTATGGCAAGAGCCGTCGAGATGGCTTCAATCGTAGTCTTTTCATCGCGCTCATTGTAGCCAACGATGAGGTCCAAAATGTTTTCACCCCAGTACTGCCGATAACTCAGCAGACCCAAATCAGAAAGCGGTTTTTCTGGCGACCCAAGCTTGCCTTCGATTCTTGACAGTTCGTACGAGAACTGAATGAGCAATCGACCATAGCCTTTGCGCTGGTATTGAGGCAGGGTCAGAATACAAGCAACGTTGTATCCGTCCGCGCTCTCCTTTTCTTTGGAGAAGTAACCAATAATGTGGCAGCCCTTGTCGCTTCGACTCGTCATGACGTAGAACAAGAAGGGGTCGACGTCGTAGTATAGTGTCTTGTGGTCGAGGAACATCTTGGACAAGAGACATAGATTACGACAGTACGTACGTTGCCGTCTGCCGTCGATCTCGAAGAAGGAGACCGACTCGTCGCGATAGATTTCGTTTCCTGGAGGATGCTGCAGCGTACACTTGTGCCTGTGCCTGACAAATGACTTTTCATCGCCATAGTACCCGAGGCAAAACTCGCAGATGAAAATAACATCTTCTTGGTTGAAAACCTCGGGGTATGGGGAAAAGTACCAGGGGAACAAGTCGTGCTTTCCAAACTGGACCTTGGAAATATTTCGAATTCGGGAGATCTCGGCGGGATTCTGCGTCATAGAGCCGTGTGTCCTCAGCTTTTCGATCTCGTCTTCTCGGCTGAAGCCACCAAGTAAATCTTTCTTCTGGACTTCCTCCTCCAGGTCGATTTCCATATCATCGCCGCCTGCTGCGGGAGTGGCTGTTGCGTCGCCCGTTGCCGGAGTCTGGCTCTGGCTCTCCTCGGCCGTCGGCGTCATCTTACGACTCTGCGACTCGACAAACTCGGTCCATGGGTGCGGTGTCGCGGCCTCTGACGGCGCAGACTGCTCCCTCTTGGAAGGTCTCTTTTGGGACTTCTTGGAGACCTTGTTTTTTGACGTGGCAACACCTTTCTTCGTCTTAGGATCTTTGGGCTTGTCCTTGTCGGGTAATGGCCACTCAACATCTTGGTCGAAATCGATCCGGATGGTCGGTACCCACTCGTCGAGACGCTTATTGAAATTGTCGAAGTTGCAGTAGAATTGGCGACCACTCTTCGTTTCTTTGATGCTAAGAATCTCGGCTCGGCGTGGAATACCTTCTTTCTTGACCATGGCGATGCATCCTGCTCTGCGCCCGATAAGTTAGTTGAGAACCCTCGTATGGAGAGCTGCCAGGTCGGGATGGTGGGGTGTTGTATTGACGAACCTGATTGTTTCCGGGGTGGCCTTTCCCTTTTGTCGGGGCTCGCTAGAGCCGACAGAGGCCTCGCCATTGGCGCCGTGTGCCGCCATGATGAATACTCGATGTGGTGGTTGATAATTGATGGATGTTGATGAAATGCGACAATTGACTTGCTGCTCTCGGTCGCAAAAGATGATTGAACTGCTGTAGGAAGAGGAAGGTGGTGTGGCAGAAACCGCGAACTGCCCAAAGGCGGTGAAGAAACTGCCGTGTACCCCTGCAGCAGAAATGCGCTAACCCAGGCGCCGAGACTCCACTCCATCTGACCTCGATAATTGCATTTTTCTATTTTCTCTCACTTTGGCTTGACTTTCATCGCAGACTTCACATTCAAGAGTCTCTGATTTACCATTTTGTAAATTCGGAAAATCTTACACGGTCTCCTCTCACCGATAAACGAGTGGTGGTATTTGAAGTCATCTCATTCAGAAACAGAGAATATGGCCCCTGAGCTATCGTCAAATTGGAAGAAGCTTCAGGCACAACTCAAAGCGGCAGGCACGTCTTCTTCCACAACTACACCGGCCAAGACATCTGGAGGCGTCAAGAGAAAAGCAGACTTTTCAACATCGGACCAACAACAGTCCAAAAAGAAGAAGACAACGTCGAAAATATCTGGAGTACCTACGCATACCCCAAAGACCACAAAAGCAAGGAACGGACGCATGGGTGTTGCTCAAAGCTCAAAGGTTGAAGTCGAACCCAAGGTCGGCCCGTCACCGTCACTCGCTCTCTGGGCCGAGGACAATGACATCTCATCAGAAGCCCTCGCTGAGGCCTATGGTCTCGGCATAAAGAACAACTCCATGCTCGGATCTGAAAAGGACAAGATCAACTCGGGTCTCATAGGAGGCCTTGATGTGGGCAAGTACATTGCCATCGATTGCGAAATGGTCGGTGTTGGAGACGGAGGATACGAGTCGGTCTTGGCTCGCGTGAGCATCGTCGACTTCCACGGACGCCAAGTATATGACTCGTATGTGAAGCCCCAAGAGCGGGTGACGGACTGGCGGAGTGCTGTGAGTGGGATTCTCCCCAAGCACATGAGATTTGCTCGGGATTTCGACGAGGTCCAGAAGGAAGTCGCCGCGCTTCTCAAAGACAGGATAGTGGTGGCCCACGATATCAAGCACGATCTGGACGTCCTGAAACTGAGTCACCCGGGTCAAGACATCCGCGATACAGCCAAGCACCCAGGGTTTCGACAGTACGGCAACGGCAGCAAGCCGGCGCTAAGAAGACTCGCAGAGGAGTTGCTCAAGGTCACCATCCAAGGCGGTGCTCACTCGAGTATCGAAGACGCGCGCGTGACGATGCTTTTATTCAGGAAACACAAGTCTGCATTTGATGTGGACCACGCCAACCGCTTTCCTCGATTTGGAGGTGCTTCGACAAATTCGAAGCCAAAGTCTAATAAGTCCAAGAAAAAGAAATGAGTCTTTATCCTCTACGCTGCTTTAAACTCGTCAAGGCCCCGGGGGGCCTCATGCGCCCGCGTCTTCAGGATTATGACACAGCCCAATTATGTCCACTTTCTTCATAGCGGAATGCCTTCCATCAACTCCAGAGCGCCCTCGCGTCCAACGGTTATTATTACGTCGCCAAGCGTCTTTGTTCGGAACCCGGCTTCGCAGTATGTGAAGTAATACTGCGTGACAAAATTAGCTTAGAAATACCACAAGAGGCATAGATGGTATGTGTCTTACCTCCCACTTTCTTCTAAATACATCTATTTCTTCTTCAGTCATGTCATCATGCTCACGTTTCAAGGCTGGGCGAATCTTGGAATCGAAGTTGCGGAGGAAATCCTCCTTCCACAGCCTCAGAGTTTTTGAGTAGTGGCCACCAATGTTCTCGACCTTTTCGACGATGAGAGTTCCCTTGGACTCCTTGGTGATGTGGTTCAGCAGCTGAGTGATCGATGGGAGGTAACCTCCAGGGAAAATGTAGTGGTTGATAAAACTGGAAACTGTCAGCTCGCGAACTCGTCTTTGGGTCACCTTTGCGACTTACTCTTCACCTTTGGAATACGCTTCATGACGACCCTCAGGCATCGTAATGCACTGGAAGACGGCGACACCCCCATCCTGCTTCAGCAACCGATCCATTTGCGCAAAATACGTCGCCAGGAACTCCTGACCGACGGCTTCCAGCATCTCAATGGACACAATCTTGTCAAACGGCCTGCCCGGCGTCTCCAACTCCCGGTAATCCGTAAGCCTGACATCGATGCGGTCCGAGAAGCCCGCAGCCTCGATGCGCTCCTCCGCGAGCGCCTTCTGTTCCTTGGAGAGCGTCAAGCTCGTCACGCGGCAGCCCGTCTTCTTGACCGCCTCGATCGCAAAGGAGCCCCAGCCCGTGCCGATCTCCAGCACATGATCCGACGGCTTGATGTGCGCGCCATCGATGAAGCGGTGCAGCTTGGTCATTTGCGCCTCTTCCAGCGTCTCTTCGGGTTCACTCGGGTCGCTGCTTTGGGGTTTCCAGATGGGGCACGAGTACGTCATGTCCGGCGACAGGAACGCGGCGAACATGTCGTTGCTGATGTCATAATGCGCCGAGATGTTGAGGAGGGCGTTGGATAGGGTGTTTGTGGTTCGCGCCAGGCTCGAGACGGCGGTGGACAAGCTTGATATCCAGGTCGTTCCGTTGCCCATTTCTTCGCGGTTGACGATGAAGAGCTGTAATGCCGTAGCAAGTTAGCCACATTCACCACCCAAACAGGACCAATCTACACAACCACCAGCGCCAGCGCCAGCTTGTGTGCGGTAGTACTGACCTGAAAGAAGGCAGTCAAGTCCTTGCACTCTATCTCTCCCAGCATATAAGACTCGGCGAACCCCATGTCGGCGAACAAGAACAGGCGCATCCAGAACGCATCGCTCTTGACGACGAGCTCCACGCGGGGCACGGCATCCGCGCGGCGGGGGACGTGGTCGCCGTTGGTGAGGTTCTCGTTGTACTTTGCGCCCAGCTTCTGGCCAAACACCCTCCGGAGCTCGGCGGGTTCGTCGACGAGCAGGAGCGTGCCGCGCTCAATCTTTGAAAAGACGGAGAGGATGGCGGGCTTGGCTACGGAGAGGGCCGGTCCCCAGGTCAGGCTGCCGACGGCGCCTCTCACGAGCTCGGTACCGCGGTAGAGAGGTTTGGCGACGGCCGCTGGGACCAGCGAGGGGAGCTTGGGCATGGCTGCGCGCGAGGGGAGGGACGTAGATATGGGAATGTTAGAGTCGAGGAGGGTTCCTTTTTACGTGTGTGTTTATGTACGGAGACCGGGAAAAAGCCCAATGGCTCTTGGTGTAAGGTACTGGACTGGACTGGTACTGGCGCAGCTCAACCAAAGGTCAATTGAGTTGAGCAAGCCGCCGGGGAACCTAAAACCGAAGCTCTCAAGGTAGATAGGTCACTGGGAAGCTTGCATCAGCTCTCTCTCTCTCTGTACTCTCGAGAGAAGATGGAGGGGGGCAAGCAAGCTGGATGGGATGTATGGGAGGAGGGGTGGAATGCAAAAGTTTACAGGAACGAGCAGAGAGGGACATGTTCGCATCTGAGACCACCAGCAAGGGGCGGGAAGGTATCATTTTATTGCAAGAAGGACCCCCAAGGAGCCAATGTCACTCCAAGCACGTCAAGGCAAGGCTAAAAGTGTCTGAGTTATTAGCTTGCCGGTGGGTAAGGTAGTGTGTCTTGAAGGGAACCGGCAACGGCACATGGACTTTGCGGATGCAGAGAAGAAGGTAGACTCGTACTCCGTAGAGAAGAGCGCGTGCTTCTTGTCTCGCCCATCGGTACCGTCGCAAGCCCGAGGGTCAGAAATGGGGACGGAGGGGAGGGTCCAACCCAGGCTTGCCAGGATGAGCATGGGTGGGAGAGTGGATGCGGCAAGGGTAGCTCAGACGGGAATCACTCGGGAGGGGCAGAGGCCTTGGCCATCGCTTGTTTCATTGAGGAAATCGAACATCTCCAAGGGGGAAGGGGAGGTTGACGATCTCATCGGCACCTGGTGTTCGTTGCCTTGCCTACCGGTACCCTGGATGGTGAACGTGAATAGCCTCTCTGCGCTGAACTTGGGGTAAGATATTATACAGCGGCTCTTTACCAAATCAACTTACTTGAGTTACATGATGGCGGCGCATTTCGCTGACTGCAAGACAATTCTTGACAGCGGCTGGCTGCTGACAACGAACCTCCTCCTCCCCAACAAAAATCCTTAGGGCCAGGGCTCTTAGTGCAAACCAAGGGATGATGTCAGCTTCCTACGGAGGGACGGCGAGCCGAACGCATGGGAAGTTGGGGAACGCATGGTAATGCATGTGCGCGAGCTCTGTCGGAGGTGTACCCGGCAAGCTCATTCGTCAATAAGGCTTGTAAATGGGTGAAGAACTCGCCTCAATAACACCTTGTCTTTACCTACTTTGTAAGGTATTACCACCTTACCAACCTTGTCTCTGAAGGGCCAGTGCGCTACCGGACCGTCCGGCCACGTTCAGCCTCGAACTGTTTTAGTCTCGCTGCTTGGGAAAAAAGTTGGGTTAGGGGGCAAGCAAAGGAACCACTGGGAACAAAAGGAGCACGAGCTGCAGGTTTCGAGAAGGCCGTCGGAATTCGTCCCGGCTGGCAAGGTCCGGGCGAACAAAACAAACAGTTTAGCGTTAGGTTGACGACTCGAGTAGCTCTTGATCGGACGAGACGGTACGCAGTAGTCTACGGGTGATTTTCACCCTCAAGCGCCGCTGGCCCGTGAGGATACTTAAGAGAGTTGAGTTACTCTTTGCTTATGAAGGAAGAACTTCTGTGCAGGATGCTGTACATAAAGATGCTCGTCCCTCGAAGGATGTTACCTAGATGGAAGCATTCGTATAGTCAGACGTAGAATGGCGTACTCGAGCCTGGTCCCTGCATCCTACGCAGTAGGATGTGCCTAGGATGGAAGGGAGACATTACCTGTATGTAGCTAAGCTTGACAGCATGTCCTTCCCACCCATTTCATTTCCCGCGTCGGCTGGGTACGGTGTGCCAGAACGTTGTTTCTCCCGATCGACAGTCATCGATTCGAACACCTCCGTGACTAAGGAAAGTCAGGGTAGGCGGATAACTGGAGCCTTGAACTCACACACTAACCCAACCGTCAACGACTTTTTTGATTCTTACGAACTACCCGTACTGAGGAAAGTCTGTTCTAACCAGAGCACATCCGATCCAGCGTTGAAACTCTCGATGAGCAAAGGCTTTCCGCAGTTCAATATGTAATTAAGATCCTGCGCAACTGGAAGCACAACCGTATCAAGAGCCTAGGGTGTCCGATTTGAGCGTTCCCCGGTTGAGCAAAGGCCCAGGGGTCCCTTTGTTGCTTCTGCAGCCTCTGCGGAGCTTTTACTGGGAATTCCCAGAAAATCGACCAGGGGGTTTTGATATCAATGACATCAAGACTTTTTCCACCCCCCCACCGCCGCTAACTGGTTGCCGACAACCGCAGACTCCAAAAATTCATGACTTTCCCGGGGTGGGTTCACGATCTGGAAGACGGACATTTCGGAGGAGAGACGGACAAACGATGGACATTTCTCGATGCCGGAGAAAATCGGAAGTGACTACAAGAGTCCAATGGCTGGCGGTACATGGGAAGCTAGCTAGGGGACGGGATTTCTATTGTGTTTTAACTTTTGACATCCGGTTGCAATAGAGCTGCCACGTATTTGTCGCAGGACACCTAACCCGCCCGTCTGAGAGTCGTCCCTAATATCGTCCTGCAGGATGCCATAATGCATGTCTAATCCCGGCGGTCAGTCTGACTAGAAATGTATGAGGACACACGGGGGGTTGGGAAGTCTTCGAGGATTGGGCGAGTTCCTTGCTATTGTCTTGGAATCATTAGAAGGGCTGGTTAGTGGTTGCAACGCATGTCTCTCACCAGCACGAGCTTTGCTTGCCATCTTGCACAGGCTACTGCGCTTGTCCACACTTGTTTCTCTCGCTGTCACCCGTCACTCGGTGAGATGAGCAGTCCGTACGGAGCACAGCAAGCATTGAGAATCGCACCAGCCCTAGCCCCTGACGATGAATCGATGGTTGAAACAGCGGGAAGGGGGCTGAAGGGGACAAGACCAGAGGCTCGTGGGAGTCGGGACACAAGGATGAGGGACCGTGCACCGCGGGAGCCAAGAGATCTTATCGATAGCGATGAGCTTATCGAGACGGCTTATCGATTATCCAAATTCGCGTCTGAGCGTTTGGGACGCGTCGAGTCGACGTAAAGTCGAGTACGGAGTACCTGAAGGTCAATAGCGAGTAGAGGACCATTACCCCCTCCACGACAAGAAGCAATTCGCGATCGTATTTTCCACCACAGCCCACTATGTCAAAGGCAATCCTCTCAATTCAGTCAAATGACTCAGCAAAGACCAAGGCCACAGTCAACCTATTGCCTTGTCGGATTCATCACAATGGTCCCGTCGGTGATGCCAACACATATTGGAACCCTACCAAGTCAGAGGGTGCGTTGTCTAGATCAACGGGCACGGCAATAGATTTGAAGCTAACATACAGGTTTCTAGATGGAAAGACAGTAGCATATTTTCGCGGCAGGAAGCTCCACGGCACGACGGTCAACTTACCAGAACAATACCGAGGCGTAGTGATGGAGAGGAGCGCAAAGGTCGAGACGCAGCAGCTTGAAGGAGAGGACGAAGAGGTTGAGGGTGACCTGGTTGAGCTGGGTACCATGGAAGCCAAGGCAGAGTTTGACGAGATGGTTATCTGGGGTCACGAAGCGAGGGCAGAGGAGGCGTCTGACCCGTACGTGAGGAGCATAGAGGAATGGCTTGACGTGGCCGAATCGGTATGCATTTGTCCAGTCTGCATTTCCGACCCGCAACTGACCGTTGAAACAGATACACTCTTATTCCTTGGACGATCACAAATCCAGTGCGTAAGGTAGACAGTCGATGAGGAGGCACAGATTACGGCTTAGGATTTTTCAGTGGCATTCTCCACCCAGAATGGTATGGACGCAATGGCGTAGTTTAGGCGTTACGGGGAAGTTCAATACAGCAACGATACCATTCTCAGAACTTCACCTACTCAAATTATTGATCGGTAAGATCTGTTCATGTTCAATGGCGACAAGTACTCGAGGGACTGCGAAGCGCATCGCAAAGAATCGGCGGCATGATGGGTGGTGTCCAAAAATAGACTAGCGCCGAATGCAGTCAATTAAAGCCGTCGCGACAGCAACGCGGTCTTGACGCGACTTGTGCCCCTCACGCGACAAAATCAATTAAGACCCCTGAGCGAGTCTCCGCCTCCCCAATGCGAAAAAGGCTCCATCGCATCCCACCACCCAAAAGTCCCACCTCCACCAAAAAACAACATCCCGCATCTCTGCCCAGCAACCACCGCTTGCGCACTACCAAACTATTGTCGACTTGCGACTTCGCGAACGATAACACTCTATAGCCGCAAAAGATACGACATTAAACATGGCTCCCTCCAGCGACGCCGGCCTTTTGATGTCGGACGCCCCGTCCCGTTCGGCGGCTACCCCTAAGCGCTCCTTTATGCCATCCTCCTCCGTTGGCGGCAGGCCACGAGCGCCGCCCTCCGAAAGCATGGGCGCCCAGAGCGACGACGAGGCTGAGGGCTTCGCCGACGACCAAGTCCCTCGCGGATCAAGGATACCGGATGCTGCGAACATTCCTCGCGTGGAGGACAGAATCGGTCTCATGGTCCAGGACCATTTTGAGACCTTTATTGAAACGTGAGTCGCTTGTTTATCTTCTCTTGGATCTGTAGGGCAGTCTTTCTAACCGCCGGCTTTTTTAGATTCATTGAAGAACCGAGCTCTTCTGCCCCGCCGACATCCAGCGCTGCCACGACAGACAAGTATTATGTTGCCCAGATTCACGGCATGAGGACATACCAGCTTTCGACATTCTACGTCGACTTCAACCACCTGACCACATTTACCAATGGAGAGCTAGGTGACGGTATCATGCGTGGCTATTATCGATTCCTCCCTTTCCTCACGGCCGCCTTACACAACATGATCGCCAAATACGAGCCGCAGTACTTCCGCGAACATAGGCAGCCGACATCCTCCAGCAACCCGACGAACTCCACCGCAAGTCAGCTTGGCTCTGCAAGCCAAACGGATATGGGTGAAAAGACGGCCAACCAGCAGACAGACAAGCTCTTCACCATTGCCTTCTACAACATGCCCCTAATCTCGAGAGTCCGCAGTCTTAGATCGACCAATATTGGTCAGCTGCTCTCCATCTCTGGCACTGTCACGCGGACATCAGAAGTGCGCCCTGAGCTTTCACTCGGCACATTTGTTTGCGAGGCCTGCAGAACGGTCGTTCCAAACGTTGAGCAGACTTTCAGATACACCGAACCCACCCAGTGCCCCAACATGACTTGCCAGAACCGCCAAGCATGGCAGCTCGATATCCGTCACAGCACATTTGTGGACTGGCAGAAAGTGCGCATCCAAGAGAACAGCTCGGAAATTCCCACGGGAAGCATGCCGAGAACAATGGACGTCATCTTGCGTGGAGAGATTGTGGATCGGGCCAAGGCGGGAGAAAAGTGCATCTTCACAGGTGCACTTATCGTCGTGCCGGATGTCAGCCAAATGGGCCTGCCTGGTTTGAGGCCAAGCACCATCCGTGACGATAATCGTGCTGCTGGTGCTGATGCCGGCGGCGCTGGCGTCACTGGTCTCAAGGCTTTGGGTGTCCGCGATCTGACCTACCGCATGGCCTTCCTGGCGTGTATGGTCACTCCCGATACCTCAAATCTCGGCCAGACGGCGACCGGGCAGGTTGCAGATGTCATCAGCTCCATGACGCAAAACAACGCCAACGACAACTCGGAATCAGTTGACGACCTCCAAGCTGCTGTCGTCGCTGGCTGGACCCCTGCCGAAATTGAAGAGCTGCGCCAGCTCGTAAGCGAGAAAAACCTTCTCGATCGCTTAGTGGCCTCCATAGCGCCAACTGTGTACGGCCACAACACGATCAAGAAGGGTCTCCTGCTTCAGCTGTTGTCTGGTGTGCACAAAACCACCGCCGAGGGCATGGAGCTGAGAGGTGACATCAACATTTGCATTGTTGGTGACCCTTCCACATCCAAGTCTCAGTTCCTCAAATACGTCTGTGGCTTTGCACCCCGCGCTGTCTACACCAGTGGTAAGGCTTCCTCTGCTGCTGGTCTCACAGCCGCTGTGGTCAAGGATGAAGAGACCGGAGACTTCACGATTGAGGCTGGTGCTCTGATGTTGGCAGACAATGGTATTTGCGCCATTGACGAATTCGACAAGATGGACATTGCCGACCAAGTCGCCATCCACGAAGCCATGGAGCAGCAGACAATTTCTATTGCCAAGGCTGGTATCCAGGCCACCCTCAACGCCCGCACCTCTATTCTCGCCGCCGCTAACCCTGTTGGCGGCCGATACAACCGGAAGACGACCCTTCGCGCCAACATCAACATGAGCGCCCCCATCATGTCTCGTTTTGATCTCTTCTTCGTCGTTCTTGACGAGTGTAATGAGACCATCGACCGACATCTTGCCGAGCACATTGTCGGAATTCACCAGCTCCGCGATGAAGCTATCGAGCCCGAGTATAGCACCGAGACCATCCAGCGTTTCATTCGTTTCGCTCGCTGTTTCCGCCCAGAGTTCTCTCCGGAAGCCAAGGAGTTCCTGGTCGAGAAGTACAAGGAGCTTCGCGCCGACGATGCGCAGGGCGGCATTGGCAAGAACTCATACCGTATCACTGTTCGTCAGCTGGAGAGTATGATTCGCTTGTCTGAGGCCATCGCTAAGGGTAGCTGCGAGCCTGTGATTTCTCCCGACATGGTTGCCCAGGCCTTTGATTTACTCAGGCAGAGTATCATCTCTGTTGAGCACGACGACGTCGAAGTTGACGACGAGGCCCCCGAGGAGGGTGCGGCGCTGCTCCGTGCGGCTTCTGAAGCAGCTGGTCAGCCCGCGGATGACGAGATGGCCGTTGACAGACCAGAGGACACGCCAGCACCGGCCAGGGTCAAGCAGACCATTACGTTTGAGAAGTACTCGAGCATGGTTAACTTGATTGTCGAGCACGTCAACGAGGCTGAGGCCGAGAACGGCGAGGGTGTCGAGGGCGAGTCGCTCGTCGAGTGGTACTTGGAGCAGAAGGAGGACGAGCTTAACAGTGTCGAGGAGCACGACTCTGAGAAGGCGTTGGCGAAGAAGGTCCTCAAGAGGATGGTCAAGGTACGTGGTATCCCCGAGCTGAATTGTTCGTCAAATGGAACGAGACTAATTCTAAGCTACAGGAAAATATCCTCATGGCTGTTCGCGGCCAAGGCCTGGCTGACGACGACGAGCCTGCCGAAGGCACTTCTTCTGGCCCGGTGGAGCCGGCCACTATCGTTTATGTGTTGCACCCCAACTGCGCTGTCGAGGAGTTTTGAGTTGAGAGCGTTGTAGACCGAGTGCGTGAACGATCCTGATGAGAAACTTAAAAAAGCTGAAAGCATTGTTTGCGCGATGTTGGACTTTGGTCTGTGAAGTCTCGGAGGGGAAAGGGTTGTAGAGCTTGGTTTATTTTGTCCAGCTCGGGAGTTGGGGCGTTTGTGGCCGGTAGAGTAGGCCTGGCTTGTTCCCACGTAGCGCATAAGTAGTAGATGGAGTGGAAAAAACTCGAATCACGGATCTTGACAACCGTCCACCGCATGTTGTCGAGTCCATGTACATGTTTTATTAGATGTCCCAGCGTTTGACTGAGTGCTAAACATGAAAGATGTAAGCTCTCCCCCCGATTATCTCGGGCGTTTCTCATACCATGGTACCAAACAATTAAAGACGCCACAGCCTCTGATTGAAAGCTAGGTCTCGTGTGCCGAAATCCGGATGGTGGGCCGTCTAGTCGAGAAACGACGCGGTGACACATTGCAGGATCCGGAAAGGGACCTCGATGTGTAAGCATAAGGTAAGTGCAGAATGCGGATCCGATCGAGGAGGTATATAAAAGAAAGCTCGCCGTCCCATACACATCATTTCGGCTGGCAACATCCGACTTGTTCCTATGGAATAGGATGGAGGGATCGTGTGTCCCAAGTTCGAGGTCAGCCAGGTCTTCAAAGTTGGCGTTGTCCTGGAAGTGATCCGCGACTTTTCACTACGATACAAAAGAACAATTGCCAACACCTCTCCCCATCAGCCTTGACTATCGACGGCGTATTCTGACGTACACTCTCACAGAGATGAGTTTTGTTAATAACAAGGCACCATCTAGGAGATAAATTAGGCTACTAAGAGCTAGACACTTTCTAAACGGGATTATGCTGATCGAAGACCAACTATCAAGTCTACCTAGGTTTTCCCTCCTCGCACCTTCTTTATAAGGCTATACGGCCGGCTATAAATGCGTTCGAGGAGAAGGCGGCCAGCTACGACTTGAAACACTAGGCAAGGCGATACGAGAGTAGGAGCCGAGTCTATATAATTATCTCTACTAGTGGCCGCTATGCCATAATAAAGCAAAGCAACGCAAATAATTTCGGATCGGCACCTACTAATAAATACGTTCCCACTATAGCCGTTATAATAAGGCATCTAAATCAACTAGCGAGTTCACTAAAGCCAAGGCTATAACAAGGCAACAAACACATTCTCGAATAACATCTTTCCATGGCCGCCGGTCTATTCGGGGTGGTATATCTAAGCAGCGGCGAGGGAAAGGAAATGATGTTGGGATATCTAATGATGACTTGGTAAAAACATAATGTTTCCCATGACAATAAAGTTGGTGCTAATTCGAAGTTAAACCCCGAGCAGTCGAAATCCGACAGTGTGAATGGCCACGAGAATGTCCGGCTACAGACCCCCAAGATCTTGTCCCCTTCCCGCCTCAGGTCTGCCTGGATTATTTTTACCGTGTCAGGCGGTAGGTCCCTCTTTACACCGGTCTGGAGGCGGAGCGGGAGGTAGAGAGCTGGAGGGATGGGACATGAGAGCGAAATGGGACATTATAGTTGATGGCGTAGTAGCAAGTACGTTGGTTACGTAGGGATCATTAGCTCTCGACGTAAAAGTCATCTCTCGAGAAACTTTAAACGCGACGTTAATCAGAGTTAAGAAGACGGACCAGATATCCGTAGTACGGTCCTGTTCACGCTCATGACATGACGAATCTTTTGGGTATATTAATATTTAATCTAGGCTGAGCAGTACGTATGTGGCAAACCGCAAACCCGTCCATGATAACCATCAGTCGAACAGAGGGTAGCTGGGACGACTGAGTAGTTTGTAGCCCCCGCTCCTGGCCATTCTTGAATTCACTGGAATGAAGACATCTGAGCCTGACTCTGCTTTTGCTTTTCTTTTTTTTGTTGCAACTTTTCTCTTTGGTCTTCAATCATCTGGCAACTCTTAAGAAATGGATATAACTCTATTGATGCAGTCGAGATGCCAGCCACCACCTCCCATGTCATGTCATGATCGACTGATTAACCGTCCCCATACCCAACTCGCCATGCCGAAATCTCAACACCACGTTTAGATACTGTACGGCTTTGCGTCAGTAAAGATCAAATGAGGCTTCCGCTTGGCGAGGTCTAGAATCGTCTCGGCAAACACGCCGTTGGCCCCTATTGAAGGTTAGCATCACAATCTACAATGTCATCAGAGTTCGGCATTTGGTATCTTACATGCGAACCAGCTTCCTGTATTATGTCGTTAGCGAGGCAACTGTTGTAGCTGGCTTGGCAGTACTTACGGGTATAGGAAGAAATGCGGCTGACGTCGACACTCTCGTGAACCAAGCCGAGCTTGGCAGAGTTCAGGACCAAGTCAAGGCACTCGGTGATTTCCTGGTCGTTTTCAGATGTCTGTGCCTGAATCAAAAGGCTCATTGGCCAGGCGTTGGAGAGCCCAATGTGCGGTCCTGGATGTTGTTAGCTATTATCCTCTGATCCTCCCGGCATTGTAAAATAGGCTCACCTCCAATTCCGCGGAACGCAACGCCCTCGAGGTAGTAGGGATTGCCAGTCTTCTCCAAGAGCATCTTCCTGGTGTTCTTGTACGTCTGGTCATCCGCAGGCAAGAACCCCATGAGAGGAAGTGCCAGCAGCGACGGGTAGTTCGCATCATCCATGAGGATAGAGGAACCGTATCCGTCAACCTCGTACGCAAAGACATCTCCGTACTTGGCATGCTTGACAACGCCATTGTTCCAAACACCATCAGCAATCGTCTGGCTCCACTTGTCCACCGTCTGCGCGAGAACATCTTTGCCGGCCTCCTTGAGGAATGTCGCCGTGCGCTTCAGCTCCACGGCCATCATGGCGTTCGCCGGAATGAAGAAGCCGAGGATGGTGGCGTCGTCACTGGGCCGGAAGGCCGACCTCACAAGACCGGTGCCGTTGTTTAAGGGGTTGCCGACGCCCTTGAGGGCCAGCGTCTCGGTGCCCGCGTCCGTCTTGCGCTGGAAGGTGTACTCGTTCTTCTGGAAGCGGCCCGTCTCCGGATCGAACGTCGAGCGGGACTGTTCCTCCAGGACATTGAGCACCGTCTCGAGAGCCATGTACCACCTCCCCGTCATGAAATCCTTGGACTCTGTGTGCTCGTAAAAGTCGTTGCCGAGCGCGAGGAAATGCGCTAGCGAATCCAGCTCGTACTTGCACTCAAACACAAACGAAGGCTCGTAGATGGGGTGCACCGTATCGTCCTGTCCATTGTGACTCGGTTGCAGGTTGGCAATCGGAGGGGGCTGGAACGCGTTGCAGTACGGCGACTCGATGACATACTCGGCCTGTGTGTTGATGGCGCCCAGGATCAGCTTGAAGATGGCGGGGTCCTTCTTGGCCAGGGCCTGGTAGGGTGAAAGCTGGTTCGTGCTGTCGCGCAGCCACTCGGCAATGATGTCGCCCGTGATGATGAAGGACTGCGGTCCCTCCCATTTTCCCTCGTCGCGCATGCTACGGCCCTTGAGATCGACGAATCTAGTATCGGTGCCATCGGTGTGGAACTTGACAGTGGTGTCTGTTGTGGAAGGGAAGGCGTTCTCGAATAGCCTGGCCAGGTCGGGATCCTTCATTCGGGATGTGACGTCCTTAATGACCTTCTCGATGGCATCGGAATGGAAAGTACGGCATCGTGGATCGGGTCGTTGGTAGGGCAGGCCAAGGGGGCCTTCGCTCAGGGGTTTACTGGAGAAGCACAGTCTTAGCATTGGTCCGTGGTCTCGAGAGGAGAGGCCAAGGCTAGAGTAGCAAACTCACTGGGGATATGTAGAGTACTGCGCATAGTTTGGACATGCTTCGCGATCCTCGCCCGTCAGAGGTTCTTGCGCCGCGTAGGTCTGGCCGACCAGCAAACCCAGGGGCAGGAGCAGGTCGAATACTGTGCGTAAGGACATGGCTACGAAAGCAATGTGGCCTGGCAGGCAAGGGACGAGAGGAAACAGAACGACAAAATTGAGTCTATGTCCGCATGGGTATCAATCGCCGAGAAACTTTTTGCGCGGTCCAGAGAGCGTGGGGTTCCAGGAACAGAAACAAAGAAGCGATCGTGTTAAGAAGCAATGTGCGACGTTAGATTGACGCGGAAAATAGGACGACGAGCTCCCTGCCAGCCAGGTGTCCGCTGCGTCTTTTGGGGGATGCCGCAGCGTCACTGTGGTCCCTTGCAGGAGCTCTGACCGGGGTTGCGTATATTAGCGTCGCATCTTGACGACTCGGGCCCACTGCGGGGTGACGCGGGGCGACCTCCGGGCGTCCGTGCCGCTCCCGGGCCGGTGGCTTTTCTCCTAGTGCTTGGTATTTCAGGCTTTATGATTTAGAGACAATAATTGTCGGTACTACTTAAAGCCAACAAGTCTATTGGTAGCACGCTTGTTGGACAAGTCGCGGATATCTGCATGTGGCAGCTTGATTCACTCTGAGACTCTATGGCTGCTTTATCAGACGGCGCTTCCCTTCCCTTCCTCATGCTACGTCTCAATCATGCCTTACGATATTAATCCCCAATGAATCCCACAGCAATCATTTCTTGGAGAAGAAGGACATGATGTTGCCTTGTCCCTTGGTAGCAGGCTTCTTCGGCTTCGCAGTCTGGCTTCCTGAACTCGGCGCAGATGAAGTCTTTGCCACCTTTGCGGGCGGCGGGGGTGCCTCGTCTTCAGAGAACTCTTCCCAAGTAGGTTCCTGGATAGTAACTAATAGACTGGTGTGAGTTTTGAGAAGAGAAAGGAAAGATTGCCCAGCTTACCAAGGTAGCCCTGATCGTCCATGATCTGCTTTTTCTTCATGACTCTCCGCTTGCCACGCCTGCGGCCGTCGCCGGCGCTAGAAACGACTTCCGCTGGTTCGGGCTTCGCTTCCGGCTCGGGAGCCTCCTCCTCCTCCTCCTCCTCCTTCTCTTCGGGCTCTTCCTCTTCCTCGCTCTCCTCCATCATCATCTTCAGCTCAGCCTCGCGGTCCTTTCGTGACTTTCTTCCAGAGTTGGCCGGGGCCTTTGCGGCGGGAATGTCCTCGTCGTCGTCCTCGCCATCATCGGATAATACGGGTGTCTCAACGGGTGCCGGTTTTGGGGCCTCTTTCGGTTTGCTTGCTGCCTTGGCCGCGGCTTTGGCGAACATCCCTGAAATGCCAGACGAGCCACTCTTCTTCAACGCTGGTGGTGCCGCGCCCTTCTTCGTTGTTGTGGTGGAAGTCGGAGTTTCTTTGGTTTCCGTCTTGGTCTCCTGCTTGACAGGCACCTCTGTCTTGGGCTCAGAGGCTGCGGGCTTGGCTGCAGATGGTGCTGCTTCCTTCTTGATAGGCTTGGCCGCTGGTGCCGCGGAAGCAGGTGTAGGTACAGGCCCTCTGCCCTGACGGGTGCGCTTGCGGACATTGGGGTTAGTGATGGTGCCAAATGTCTCTGCCGTGGATACGCTCTCATTCGTCGCTTGTTCCTTGATTTGTTGATGAACGTCTGCTAGGAGTTGCAGATCCTGCAGCACTGCTTAGTAGTGTTGCGAGGCCTATAGAGGGAGAGAACCTACCCTAGTGGGATGTCTCGCCAGACTGTAGATATGGAATGAGGAAACCTCTTCGTAAGTGGCTAGAGTCTCTGAGAAATCGTCAGTAATAGTGAGAGTAAAAACGTGGATTTTCGAATTACCCTTCAGAAGGTCGCCAGGGACAAGAGACATGGAGTGGGTGACAACATCTTCAGAAGCTTCGACATCGGGGGGCGAGCTGGTCATCTCAACATCGCCATCATTTTGGACCTTTTGTACTGCCTGAGTACCGTAGATCAGATAGGTTGCATGGATTGTACCAGGGCGCATTCCATTCTGCGACCGATGGAAATCATAGAGCATTCTATCACCAGGTTAGTAGTTGATCAAAACAATGAAGCAAAGTTAAGAACCGACCCCTTTGCGGTATTGACATGAACTTTGAGTGCCCTACTGAGGCTCCGATATGTGACCTGGGAAATATATGAGTACCAATTCGACGTTCACCATGGGGATATTGTAGCTTACAATTTTCTCCTCACTCAAGATCTGGTCCGCCAGATACTTTTTGTATTCATCCATGGTGAAGTGGTCCAGTCGCTCTCCGAGTAGACTGTAAAGTGAACCAGGGTTCAGTGATTGAAGTTCGTTAAAGAACAAGGTGCCAGCTTTTGCAAGGAGTTGTCACGATGATTCCTTGTGAGAAAGGCACAAGGTGGGAGGGAGCTACCTGAGGAGACGCGTCGGGCAAGACAAAGACGCGACCCACTCTTTCCTTCTTAATTGATTTTCTGTGCACACCCCCCTGCTAGAGCCATTCGGAAGAGGGCGATTGGTGACGTTATCCACTAATTCTACACCCCCGTCTTTGAATCCCTGACACCTTCCCATGGAGCGCGCCACTCGACGCGACTTTCCCATCCTCCCAAAAAGTTCATTGAAGCCTTTTGCCTGTCAACATCCTTGTTTCCGTTGTTCGAGGCCTTCACCCACATCGCCAGCTCAGGCACCCAAAGAGTTTCCAAGCGATCTGTGCCTGGAAAGTTCTGATCGCCACTGCCGAACACACTAACTCTCATTTCTGTCACGAATCCCTCAGCCGCCCATAATGGCAGACAACTTCGAGGACGTTCCCGACTCAACGGACTGGCTCTCTACCCCCCTCCCCGCCCTTTCAGCAGTCGAAGCCTCCTTACGATGCCAGGTTTGCAAGGACTTCTTCAAGACACCAATGGTAACATCATGCTGCCACACCTTTTGCTCCCTCTGCATCCGTCGCGCCTTGTCCAACGACGGCAAGTGCCCTCTCTGTCGGGCCTCAGACCAAGAGTTGAAGCTGAGGAGTAATTGGTCTCTCGAGGAGGCTGTCGATTCCTTTGTCAAGGCTAGAAAGGATACACTACACTTTGCAAGGACGGCGGACCAGGATGACCAGCGAGAACCTAATGGCAGTATGGGCAAGAGAAAGCTGGCTGAGGAAAGCGGCGAGCAACAGCCAGAGACCAAGCGCCTTAGGAGTTCGGCGAGGCTCAGCAGGACGAGATCTGGACAGGCTGCGGCCACGCCGGTGCATGAGGTCGATGAAGTCGACGAGATGGAGGAAGTACAAGAGGATGACGAGTCAGAGGACGCAGATTTTGGTAAGCCATCGCTCTTCTCCACGAAGTGCCTCGCTTGACAACCCTTCTAACAAATCTTCTTCCCAGCTCCCGAGGACGGCCTGGTTCCATGCCCCATATGCAGCACCCGCATGAAAGAAGCCCAAGTCTTCCGCCATCTCGACACCTGCGACGGCTCAAAACCACCACCACCACAACCCGCCCCAGCTCGCGTAAGCGCAAGCCGAACTCCGACACCAAACACACCCGCCCGCGGCCTCAGCAGACCGCACCCGGCCCCCGAACGCCTCCCCGCCCTCGCCTACTCCATGCTCAAAGACGTTGCCCTCCGCAAAAAGATGTCGGACCTCGGCCTCGCTGTTACAGGCGGCCGCGTCCAACTAGAGAAGAGACACAAGGAATGGGTGACGCTGTGGAACGCAAACTGTGATTCGGCGCGACCGAAGCGGAGGACGGAGCTGCTGCACGATCTCGACGTGTGGGAGCGCACGCAGGGCTCCAAGGCGGCCATGTTTGTGAAACCGGGAGCCGCGGTGAAAGACAAGGAATTCGATGGCGTCGCGTGGGCTGCGAAGCATGATACTTCCTTCAAGGACTTGATTGCGAACGCGCGGAAGTCGAGGGCACAAGCGACGCCTAAGAGCGAGGAAGAGACGGCGACACCAAAGGCGGAAGATGGCTTGGCTGCTTCAACAGAGCCGAATGCTCCTGAGGTGGATTTGCAAGGGGATGGTGCGGCGGTGATTGATCTGACGGAGCAGCCAGCAGATGTCCTTGGAGAAGGCGAACCAGGGGATGGTGGTCCCTCGGGATCCCTTATGCAGGTTGATGATCCAACGCCCAAACCTCAGGTGGTCCCAGCATCGACGTACTACTTACAGGACGGCTTCTCAGAGCCGCAGATACCCAACACCCAGGAGGCGCGGTGAAATCCCTACGTGGTAGTTGCATGACATAGCGTTTTCTTCGTTACTATACCCTGCCGACTGTAATATATACAGCCTTTGCTTTAATACAAAACCAGCAAAAGAAACGCCGTGATCTAAACCCTCCCAAAATGTTCATGAATACAAATGCGGCATGTGACGCACAACGTGATGCGATGCCCCTTTACTGCGCAGGCATAGGCTCCTCCCGCACCCTCTCCTCAAGCCCCATCCTCTCCAAGCTTTCCGCCGTCTCCCCTGTCGGCGATTTGGCCCCCTGCCTTTCAACAGGCTCCTTCACAGGCGCCTTCAAACCCTCCATCTCCGCCTCAAGCCTCCTCCTCGTCTCCTCAGCCTCCTTCTCCTCCCTCGCCTCCCTCTCCCTCCTCTCCGCCGCCTCAATCTTCTCCCTCTCCTCCCGTTCCATAGCCTCAAGCTCCTCGTCAACCTCAAACTCATCAACCACAGGCGCAGCCCCAGCCTCGGATATGATCTTGCCCACCTCATCCACCTCACCCATCTGCTCCCTCAACCTATCCACCACATCCCCAACCCGATCCGCGCCGCCAACCTTCTCATTAAGCCCCTTGAGCGCATCCGCGCTCGCCTCCATGACGCTGACGAGCTGCACATTATCCCGCGCCTCTTGTATTCTACCCGCCACATCCTCGAGCTGGTTCAGCGTCGCAAACCGCTTCTCGAGCGACGCCTCGGTCATCTTTTTCGACTTCAGCGCCGCCAGCGCAGCGACCTTGTTCTTCTTGGTCACGGCGTCCTTGGCCGTCGCCGTGAGCTCGTCCACGCGCGCCGTGAGGAGGGCCGTCTGCTGCTTCATGTCGGCAATGAGCTCCTTTAGCGACGAGACGGCGGCGTCTTCCTCTGTGATCGTCGTCTCGTCCTCGTCTGTGCTCGAACCCCTGATCTTGACCACCTTGCCGTCGTACACCACGATCCCCTTGTCCCGTGACAAAAATATGAGCAGAATATCGACGTCCGTCTCGGATAACCTCCGATCCTGCACCAACGCATCCGCAAACGTCTTTTGAAAATGTGTCTTCGTATACGTCCTGTCGAACCTCGAATCCGCAGCAGTAACCTTCTCCGAAAGACTCTTCGCCGTAGTTTCGACATTCCTCAAAACCACAAACTGCCCCTTTGGAACCGTATCCTCCCCCGAAGTCAACTTCCCCGCCCCAAACAACTGGCCCGCCGCCCACGACACCACGCTCCACGGAACCTGCGCCCACGTCTTGCCCGCGTAGATGCTCTCTTTCGCCTTGGTAAACTCGTTGAGCGGGTAAAGGTCCTTGTCGGCGACAGCTTCCCTCACAACGGTGCCAAGCGCGAGCGGACGACCGAATTGTTTGCTTTCGAGGGACCGGACGAGCTGCTCGTCAACGTTGACCACTAACAAATTCGGCGCCGAGAGCTGCGATGCGACGCGGCCTTCCCATGCTGCGCGGGCGAGGGCCTGGCGCCAGGCGCTGACGTTGGCGTGGAAGCCGTCTGGGTTGAGGGTTCGTTGGGGGCGGAAGTCGGAGTAGAGGGCTGGCAAACGGGCTCTGGGTAGGCAAGGAGGTTAGTATTTGGCTGTAGCTCGGGGCTTGAGGGGGTATAGATGGGTATGTTGTCTGTGGGAGAGAGACAACGAACTTGCGAAAGTTTTGGTCGCGTTCGACGAGGAAGTCGGCGAGTTCTCCCATCTTGGGCCGAGTGACGTCGGAGTCTGTCAATAGCTTCTCGTTCTCGGCTCTGTTGGAGAAGTATCTACCTGCGTTTCGACCTCGGGTCGCTTGGGAGGGAAGTGTTCATCAAAGAGCCCGAGGGAAGAGAATGAGAAAAAGAGACTTTGAACGGGTAAAGGAAAAAGACAGTCTAAGTATGGGCACACTAAAACCGTCGTCTTCCGCGAGACCTGGAATCTTCCCGATGAGCCAGAAGGGATCAATCATGGAAGGTGTAGTCGCTTTGGCGGGACAGTGGGGGAAGCTGCCTTATCGGCGCGGGTTCAGCAGTGTCTTTCTCCTATCGGTTGCTGGTGAGATCACTGACGGGTCCAAGGGTCCTCGGGCCGTGACAAGTGTATACAGGCGCCTGACCTCGAGCAGGGGCTGACGCAGGTACGTACTGCACTACCATCGAACTGAGCTAAGGATGAAGCACTGATAAAGTAGCTGATATAGGGAAGTAGAAGTGATGATGTTTACATCTACCTCATGGATTAGTATATTTATAAGAGTTCTAATGGGAACTGAGAAAAAAATCAAAATTAAAGGAAACAGGCTAGCTTCTTTGTAAGTTGCCTTACTTCGTCTGTGTTATACCAGAGGGTTCATCTTGGTGAAAGACACGAACAACCATAAGAGCAATTATGTTTAGGGAGCAGGGAGAACTGGTGTAAATGCTATTAATCCGCTTCGTAAACGCATCTATTAATCACTTCATTCGTTCATCGCTACACTGCTGCCACTCCCACAGCCGTTTAAGTTGTGTTAGCCAAACTCGTCTTGTGCCGATATATCCCCCTTCTCCCTAACAGGGGATGTGGCTCCTTGCAACGGCGCAGTCTCCAGGCTTGCGACAGGTGGCCCTCCCCGGCCCATCATGCTCGTCCTTCTGGACCTGAAATCCATAGTCTCGCTCTCCTCGACAAAAACCTCCTCCACGTCTTGTGATGGTGACTCGTCGCCTCCAGTTCCGTCATCCACGTCGAGCTTCTCATCGAGCTGATGCTGTAGGCCGGCCACAAAATCGTTGGCAAGGCTAAACTTGGAGACGCCATTTTCATGTGGGAGCTCCGAGTAGATCCGAGAGGCTTCGTTGAGACATCGCTGGGACTGGATGTACTTTTGTTGCAGGTCCCAGGCTTCGCCGCCGAGAATACACCACATGGCCGATTTTCTCTTCCGGTGGCCCCATGAGCCGGAGCCGACGCCCGGTTTCGAGGCGTAGCAGACGGCAAGTCGTTCCTTCATGAGGGCGTCGCCGACGGGTCCGAGGATCTTGGAGTCGAGGAGCCGGATGCCCCATCGTACAGCATCATCGACGCTGCTGCCGCCCCTAAGCCGCAGCAGCTCGATGCCGAGCGTCAAGGATCTCAGTGCGCCAAAGGGTGAGCTACAACGTGTGTAGTAAGAGTAAAAGGCGGCTTCCAACATCTGGTCGATCGTCTCGGCGCGGGACTTTGAGGGCAGGCTTTGCGGCATGATAAGGAGACTGGCGGCGGCCATCTCGTTGGCTGCCGCGTGATACTTCCAAGCCTTTGCATCGCTAAAGTCGGACCTCAACAGATCGTACGTTGAGTGTGCTAGTTTCCAGTCCCTCAGCATAAACGCGAAATCGGCTAGCTTCCGCATAATGGCTTCTGAAGCGTCTGGCCGGTAGAATCCGAGCGCGTCATATGCGCTCGATGACCCGCTGCCTCCCACGACTGAATTTCTCGAGCTGCTGCCAAAGCCTCCCCATTTCCGTGACAGATTCATGAACCTCCCCGTGATGCCCCTCCTACGAGATGCGACTTGGTCATTCCACAGCGACACATGGCGCTCCATGGTAGGTATGATGGACTGCGTCACCATTTCTCTCACAAAAGTGCGGATCGCCGTGGCATCCGACTCGAAGATGTACCTTGTAGGGTCCTCAAAGTCTTCACGTTCTTCGCTGTTTCGAATATCCCTGAGTTCTTCGGCTGCCGACATCCAATCGCTCCGCGGCAGGGGTATGCTGTCGTCGTCGGTTTCTGCGCTCTGCGTGCTTCTCAACCGTAGTAAATGGCAGTGTAGGCCGAGATGACGCTTCATCTGGTCAAATAAGGCCAGTGACCGCGTGACATCGTCGCGCTCTTCATCGTGTACTAAAACGTAGTATCTCAGGTAGTCCCCGTCTACCCACACCGGCAGTCTGTTCTCCCCGGTGCTTGTGTCGTTGTATAACTTGCGCAAGTCTTCTATCGGTGATGGACTCCGCGAGCTGATGGCAATCACGCAGGCCACTGGATGCGCAAACGTCTCGTGAGGTGATACGGATATGCCCGACAACAGTCTCCGCAGGTATAATGAGTAGTAGGGCGAAGTGGCCTCCACATCCAGACCCTGTCTCGTCAATCCGTGGTGCGGAGTGTTGAGAAATGACTCTTCGGCGTAAGACAGATGGCTGTTCACCACGGCTTCGACGTTGTCGTAGTAGTTCCTCGATTTTGAGACAGATCCGCCTTGTCCGTTAGTCGCCGCAGATGCCGTGCCTTGTGAGGCGCTCGAATCAGGCTGCTCGATATTGTCCCCGAACTTGGTGAACCGAACCGAATAGTCCTCCCACGATCTGCTTGCGCCGTTGCTGTCTCTAATTGTGACCTTGCCCTGCACCTGTTCTCCAAATGGGCGCAGAAGCTCCCACAATCCGTTCTTGAAGCCCTTGTCGCTCGCGAGCTCCTCGGTGTCTGGCGAGGCGTAAATCGCAACATGCGGAACGTAGGCTTTCATGATCAAATTGCGCGGGTCGCCGGGGCTATCGGACGCATTCTCGATGAGCGAGCGAGCTGCTGGTCCGCCAAAAACGGAGCCAGACATTGTGCTGCGGGCGGGCGAGCCTCGTCCCATGGGAGACCCCGATCGTGATCCGGGAGGCGTCAGAGTGGAAGCGAAGAGCGGCGCGACAGAGGGATTGGATCTTCGGTACGGCAAGGTGACCTCAGATTGTGCCAGCGGGTGGCCTTCGGGTACAGACTGCCTCTTGGGCGGTCTCCCAGTCGAGGTGGCCATGGGCATAGCGGGGAGCGACTCGATTGGCGAGGCCGAGGCCTCATTGTCCGGGGACTGCATGATCGAGGCTGCGTGAGGTATACCAGTCGAGGAGGACCGATACCCTGTGCCTTGATCCTGTCAGATGGGTAAAAGCCAGTGGCTAAGTGTAGGACTTTGCGTGGTGTTGGAGCATTCGTAACTCCGCCCGATGGCTTTTGGCGTCGTAATTATTAGGGGGCTCGGCGGTGGTTCGCAAGAAATGAACGAATGTTCGGCCCAGTCTAGGACTTTTGAGAAAAGGTCAGCAAATATGAGGTGTGTGACGCAGAAGAGAAAAAGATGACGTACAAAGACTGGCTCCGCGACGATGCCACAGTTGTACCTTGCGCTGCCGCTGGCCAAATTACAAGCCGGAAGCCATCATTGTCAGGTTCCATTCGCGCAATGGAAGAGAGACTGAGAGACCACTCGACCCTCCGATAAGTAACTAGCGCCCGTCACATGCACGTCCATTCGTGGAAGGAACGGGGGAAAGTGGGGGGGGATCCTTGTCGGTCCGCGGCCCCTGCTTTTTTGGTCCTCGTCCATCAAGGTCCGTGCATCTTTTTTGATGTGCAACGACGTCGGTACCTCACTCAGTCCTAGCTTACCTTGAATAAGGTATCTCGAATTATTATTGAAGCTCTCATCATTCACCACCAAAACCACCTCAAACGACATCCATTCTTAACGTCCTCGCGCCCCATAGAGGCACCCTCCGATCACCATGCCTTCCGACCTCTCTTCATATCTCGCAACACGCTACCTAGTAGCAGATCCGAAACCAACCAAGAAGCGCAAGCGCAAGCAAGCCACTGAAACCCAAGGCCTCATCATCGCAGACGACGACGACGACGCCGGCTGGGGCAACTCCAACGCACAAGACGACGACGCAGAATCAGGACCGTCCCTCGTATCAGGCACCTCGGCAGAATTCAGAAGGACAAAGAAATCAAATTGGAAGACGGTCGCCGCCGCCGCTTCGTCAAAATCGCAAGGCAGCGCTGGCAACAATGGCGGCGATGACGACGACGACAGCGCAGCAGCAGCAAACGCAATCCTCGCCTCAACAGCAGCAGAAAACGCAGCAGCCGGGACCGCAGACGACGAAATGCCCATAATTGAAGGAGAGGCTCGCGACGTGGTGAAAATGAGCGACGGCACCCACGCAGGCCTCCAATCCGCTGCTGCCGTCTCAGCACAACTCCGTCGCCGCCAACAAGCCGAAGAAGCCGAATTCGCCAAACTCCGAAAACACGGCAAGGAAGAAGAGACAGTCTACCGCGACGCCACGGGCCGACGCGTCGACGTCTCCATGAAGCGCGCCGAAGCGCGAAAACTAGCGCTCGAGGCGGAAGAAAAAGAACGGCAGGCCAAGTTGGCGCCGAAGGGCGATGTGCAACTCGAGAATGCAAGGAAGCGCAGGGAGGCGCTGGAGGATGCTAAGCTCATGACGTTTGCGAGGACGGCGGATGATGTGGAGATGAATAACGAGCTCAAGGAGCAGGAGAGGTGGAATGATCCCATGGCGCAGTTTTTGAGCGAGAAGACGGGCGGTGGTGGTGCGGGGGCAAAGGGTAAGAAGGGCAAGAGGCGGCCGGTGTATGCTGGTGCTGCGCCGCCGAATCGGTATGGTATCAAGCCGGGGTACAGGTGGGACGGCGTCGATAGGAGTAATGGGTTCGAAGGGGAACGGTTCAAGGCGATTAATCGCAAGGAGCGGAATAAGGGACTCGACTACGCCTGGCAGATGGACGAATGATCGGTCTGAGATGCCCCCGGTTTACTTTGGTCCAGGCATCGAATTTCAACGAAGAATTACAACATTGAGTACCCCTTACTATTTTCGTTTGCGACCTTTCCAGATCTCAACCATGATCAAAAATGGCGTTGAACCCAAAGCCTGTAGAGCTCAATGTGAGGACGATATATCCATTCGAGACTAGCCGGCATTGTGCTTCATCAGGATGGTGAAATATAAACTACGTAGGGCAAAGGATACTCTAGTCGCCTGGGCTATGTGCAGCCAAGCTACCAATGCCAGGTCGTACTCTCTATGCCACTTACTGAAAAAGTAACTTCGCGGCTTTCAGCGAGTATCTCAAAAGTCGATCTGCCTTACCCGAGCCACATACATAAGACTCGAAAACAGGCGGTGCCCAACACAATTATGAAGCGTCAGTGTGAAAATCCAAACTTCCCTGTTATGGGCAACCCGTCAGCGGGTAGCTCCGGATTCACGGATTCCACCCTAATGATGGATTCCTCGCTAGCATTATCTGCAATAATGTCTTTCTAGCCTAAGGTCTGCGACGAAGAATCTTGTCGGATCCGTAGGCACAATTCTCCTTGACGAGTTTGATCCATTCCTTGCGATCCATCTGGCCAGGTCCATCGCCGATGCGTCCCTGGAACCTCCTCATGAGATTACCAATGCTGATACCGCCAGGGAGCTCGGGAAGGGCGTCAACAATCTCGTGAGCCTGAATGGGACCACGGGGCGCGGGCGATCCCTCGGGAACTGGTGAGCCAGGCTTGGAGCCTATCAATTATGTTAGCATATGCTCTGACGAGGGTGGAGGACAGTCCGCTTGCTTACCGGATGCTGCGGGGACAGGACTACCGGCCCTCGAGCCGACTGGAGTGCCTCTTGCTCCGCTACCAACGAGTTTGATCTTCTTCTTCCTCAGCTGGCCATCTGACATCTCTCCGCCAGTTGCCTCGCCGTCGCTCATGGCACCCTTTAGGTGGCTCTTCAGGCCACCCGAAGGCGTAGACGAACGGCTCTGATGGACGGAAGCCGCGGCGTGCTTCTTCAGCTTCTTCCGAGAGGACTCGTTGCCACTAGATTCGGACAAGTTTGGAGAGCCAGGACGCTTCAGAGACTTGCCCTTCTTAAGGGCATCGGTATGTTTCTGTCGGCCAGACGGGGTGGTGTTACCCTTGGAAGACACGCCTGAGGCAGTCTTGTCCTTCGCGTCCCCGTCCTTGTCCTTGTTCTCTTCATCCTTGTTGTCCTTGTCCTTCTCCTCTTCCTTCTTCTTTTCCTCATCGGAATCATCTTCGCTCTGTGGATGTGGTTAGTCAAGTCATAGGCTGATGGCGACTCTGCGCATCTTACCGATGAGGACTCAAAGGGATCGTAGCCACTTGAATCTGATTGGTAGATAGTCTCCTTTTCTCTCTTGATGAGAGCCTTGGTAGTTCGCTTCCCCTCTTTGCGGCGCTCTTCCTCGGCCTTCCTCATCTCGTTCAACTCCTTTTCTACTCTGCGCTCATCGGCCTCGCCAAACAGATTGGCGCCCATTTGATCGCGTCGGATGCGATCGGTGGCCTCCTTGGTATCTTCATCGTTATCCACGTCTAAGCCGGGATTCTCGTCGTCGTCCTGGAACTCGTCGCCTTCCATGTCAATCTCGTCATGGTCCTGCTTTTCTTCCCGAGAAGAACCTCTGAAGGTGCTGCTCTCCGTCTTGATTCTCGCAGGGCCATATAGGGCGTGTCTAGTAGCCTCCCATTCATCTTGCTCGCTCTTCTTTTGCTTGTCACGCATGTACCATCGACCAATGTCTGTCTTTTTGCTCATCAAAGCTTCAGCTTCTTCGAGCCTCATGGTATTGAAGTGGGGCTTCGCAGTGAATTTGTACCATTTTTCCAGAGGTATCGCCGCGAATTTGCCATCTCTAGTAGCAACGAAGCAGACGGTGGTCTCAGAAAGAGGCGCGACATAAGATCCGACCCAGACATTCTTGCCGTCTGCGTCCTCCAAGTGCCAAGGCAGCGCCTCCTCGTACCGCAGTCCCTGCTGCTTCTTTTCTTTCTCCGACCGAGGCTGACGGTGGAACTGGACATCCTTCTCCTTCTCCTTTGGCTTGGGCTTTTTATCAAGACTAGGGTCCTTAAGACTGGGAGCACTCTTGGCGAGTTCCACGGCTCGAACAGCCTCACGATCGGCCTTGAGTTGTGCCAAACGCTCGGCTTCCTTCTCATCAACCGGTTGTGGCTCGGGTTCTTCGTGCTTGACTTCACGTCCGGGAGGCGGTTGTCGTGGATCGCGCCGCTGAAGGGTGACGGGCCTGGTGAATTCTTCTTGATTTGTGGGATCAATGCCGTTCTTTTCGAGCTCGGCCTTGGCGGAAGAGAGTTTCATGACGTGATGCCTGACACCATCTTTCAACGCCTTCTTGGTCGTGACGATCTTGAATTCCCTTACATTCTGGGGCGCGGGGTCGAGCCAGCCCCCGTTTGCCGCTCTCTTCGCTCTGATATCCTCTTCGGTTTCGGGTCGCTGAAGGCCGTGGTGGCCTGTTCCACTGGGAGATGGTCGAGCGCCTGAGGCGGTTTGCAACGAGCCTGGAGGAGGACGCGAGGCAGCCGGTCGTGGAGCTCCGGGTCGCTTGCGGGCAACAAGGGGATCGCCTTTAGGTCGTCGCTTGATCGGAGGAGGACGAGGCTGTCCAGGCTGTCCTGGTAGGCCATTCGGGTTTTGGCCGTTGGGCAGGCCTGGTGGCGGCGCGCTCATGCTGTCGGCGGGCGCGCAAGATTCGAAAGTGCTTCCTGCGGTCGTTTGTTTCGGGACGATTATAGTGAGCGAGACCTTGTTTGTCCTTCGTTAAGCAGTCTCTGTCAGGCACGAGGCAGTCGGAACTGTAGGCAGAAATGAGGCTTGCCCGGTTGCTTAGGGCCGCGGCGCAAGAGAGAATCACCGGTGACCGTAGACTCAGTGATGCGACGGAGAGTTGAATATCAATGCTTGCCAAAAAGTCTCGAGGACTAGCTCGGTCGGCGGTTATGTACTCGCGAATTGACAAGTACGGATGAATTGGCGAAGATGAAGAGGTCGAGGTGATGACAAAGAGCATGGACGATGAGGTGCATGCGGGAAAGGACGATTGGAAGGCGCGCTCAGAAATCAGGCGCACTTGCCTAAGGTAGGCAGCTTGGAGAGCTTGCAGAAAAGCTGGGCAGTCCAGTAGCCGTGTTAAGGTGAGGTACCTTAGTTACGGGCTCAAATGTACCCTGCCGGCAAAAGTTCAGTGTGCGGTACATTCACAGCCAAGAAGTTAACAAGGAATAAGCCCATCCTGCCAGGTACTTTTCCTGGGCGACTGGGCGGGTCATTCACAGTGCCTCATAATTCGCCAGCGGCTATGGAACCGCATCTGGAAAGGGCGAGCCTCACCAAGGTAGGACGTCATCGGGATGGTGTGACGGGTAACTGTACGGATACCTTACCGATGAACAAAATATCTAGCTTGCCTTTCAAACAGTCCATTTTCGATGGATGCAGAGTGCCCCTCACGAGAAGCACTAGTCAATGGCTGTCTTCCACTGTCTATTAATAGGACGTTCAGCCGCGACAGCATCAGTTGGTATCAGTATGCGCGCCCTTGACTTGCCCATGTATATCTGTACAAACCCAGGCAATAGGTACAAAAGGCAAGAGGCACGATGGCACCTTGAGAAAGGGGGTTCAAACTTGAGGCTCTAAAGAGAAGAATAGGAGAAGCCAATCAATGACATTATAAAGCCATGGAAGGTCATGAAATATGTCAGATAAATAGTAGGCGTCCAATTCATTCCACAATTTCTTCGTTTTAGCTATCCACATAGAGGTAGAGGTAGGTACCTTGCTTGGGATGTATCACAGTCCGCAGTGGGCAGTTTCTGTACAGTGAGGGACTGGCTTTTATCCACCGCTTACGTACAGTGCGTCGCAGATATGAGACTGTAGCCCCTCACTCCGGAATGTACCTCCTTCCCCACGTACGGGCAACCTCCACTTCACTTGAAGTTCCATTTACACCACCTTGCCTACATGAATGAGGTGATCGCCAATCGGAAACTAAGTACAAGTTTTCCAATCACAACACTCGCACTCGTCTTCTTATCTACCAACAAGACCTCCAATCCCTTCAATCCTCCGCATTTGACTGTCCAAACCATGCGTCCCGGACGTGTCTGACCAGGTAAGTGCTTTGCGCCTATTTTCAGTGGCATCCTTCTCATCAACTCTCACAGTAGCCTCGCCCTTTCTTAAGCTGTGTTCAAGTCATTCCACCGCATGACAAGGCCTTCAAGCAACCAGCACTATGAATAACAACGCCAGAAACTCCGGCGTGGGCCAGTTTGCTAGCTCTCAGACCAACGGACTCGAGGATCAACTACGAAACATGATTCTCACGAATGGTACCCCAGCTACCGGCCAGCCTCAGGTCCAAGATGCCCCGCGAACGAGCGCGCACTTTCCTGGCGATGGGATTCCGATGAACGGACCAAACGATCTTCTTCAGCCCCAGAGAGACCTTCCCGGAGCTTCGGCTGGGGTCAATGGAAAGCCACCTTCGCCCAAAGTGGGCAGAAAGCGACTCAACCAGGCGCAGAGACGACAGATGAATGCTCAGCTGTCCATTCCCATTGACACTCGCCCCTCCCCGCCCACCGAGGTTTTACGAACCCAAGCAGGCTGGCCTTCTCCTTCTTACCCTCATGAGCACCCCAGATTCCCGTCTCATGGGCGACCCGTCAAGACGTATCATAACCCAGACCTGCACCATAGACCGGCTCACCTTGCAGGCGGCATGTCACCTCGCTCTCCCAGACAGAACGGACACCGACTTCTCGCCAACTCTGACCGATACCAGCATGACCAGAACGCAAGTGGTCAACAAGAGCACGGTTCACCGCGCTTTCCACGTAACAACCATGGTCAGCTCTATAGCCCCCGTGGCCAACACCATCCAGTCCGGCCCGAGGAGCTGGAAAACCAGGCCTCCTACCTGGAAAGCCTCTGCAGCACTCTTGTTGCTGGCGCAGAGATCGAAAGAGGAGAGATTGCCGAGAAGGAAGCCTTTCGAGTCAAAATTGAACAAGTTTGCCAGGCCGCAGTTGCCGAATATGAGGCAACACAAAACGGTCTAGAAAACTTTCCCCCACCGTCTGTGCAACTCAAATGCTTCGGCAGCCTGTCTTCTGGATTCGCAACGAAAGCCTCAGATATGGATCTTGGTCTGGTCTCGCCTCTTTCTACCCCTCAACCGGATGAGTCGGGCTCCGCGATACCCAGACTCATCGAGAAGGCTTTCCTCGAAATCGGTCTCGGCGCACGCCTACTGACCCGCACAAGAGTACCAATCATCAAACTCTGTCAGAATCCTCCCGCAAAGCTTCTCAAGGCTCTTCTGGAGGAGCGTGAAAAGTGGGAGAAGGGCATCGTGGATCCCGATCATGCGGATGCCGCAGACGACGATGAGACGGGTGATACTCACATCAAGGAATTGACGGATGAAACGATTGACGACCCAAACAACCCGAAGACGGACGGGTTGTCACCCACAGGCTCCAGTTCAAACGAGCCCAGAGTGCCGGCCATTTATCAGCCTGAGAACCAGTCTCTGTCCGCTTACTACAATGCGGCGAAGCGGACATTGAGAAGGTTGGGAGGTCGAGATATCACTCTCTCCAACTGTCGCGAGCTGGTAGAGGAGGACTACGACTTACTCAACAATGTTTGCGAGGCGTTTCTGAAAGGCCTCTGCGAAGTGCCGCTGAGAAGAAGACTCTCGAACAACTACGTGTCTCTATCTTTCAAGACACTTCCCAATGCTCCCAACTACCGATCCCTGGCTGGCGTGTATGCTCAGATGGAAGGCGAGAGGATCGTTATGCTTTGCGAGAGAGAAGCTGAAAGCGGGAGCATAGACGACACCGATGATGCAACTCGGAATCTGATCGCCTCTTGGAAGACTCTCCAGAACCAGCCGCACTTTGGCGTCGAGCCACTCACGTACAGCAAGCATCTGCAACTGCACCTGGAGAAGCTCAAAAAGCTCCCCATCGCGCAGCTGCTCACTCTCGAACAGAGCCAGTTTGAAGCAGCTTCCGGGTATCACGCGAGAACCCTCAAGATCCTCGCGCACCTCCGCCCCCGGGGCGATCCTGAAGCGGCGGCCGCCAGACAACTCACCATTGACAGATACGCAGCCGGCATCTGGCCAAGCACCACTCGCAAGAGCGTACGCGATTTCATCGACACCACCAACCAACCACTCAGCCTGCTCACTGTCGCCCGCCGCCACAAGAGTCTGCAACTCGCCCTCGAACTCGAAAAGGCCGTCGACCAGCGCCTGTACGACCCGAGCATCGAGAACAACATAAGAGAATACATCTCGATCCTCCGCGGTCCCATGCGGAAGAGCATCGCCCACGACCCCCAGTACGACTTCGTCATCCCCGTCACCAAGCAAAACATGGAGACCATCAAGCGCATGCGCGACCTCAAGGACCCGGCCAAAATGACAATCAACCAACCCCGCGACCCCTACCGCGACAAGCTCGAGTTCCCCAAGAACGGCGTCGGCGTCCAATGCGATATCAACTTCGCCGCCCACCTCGCGCTGCATAACACCCTCCTCCTCCGCTGCTACTCCCACACCGACCCCCGCGTCCGTCCGCTCGTCCTCTTCGTCAAACACTGGGCCAAAGTCCGCGGCGTAAACACCCCCTACCGCGGCACCCTCAGCAGCTACGGCTACGTCCTGATGATGCTACACTATCTCGTCAACGTAGTCCAGCCCTTCGTCTGCCCCAACCTCCAAGCCCTCGGTCCGCCACCCCCTCCCCCCGAAGGCCTGCCCCCCAACTCTCCGGCGCTACTCGACGAGAATATCATCTGCCGCGGCCGTTTCGTCGGCTTCTGGCGCGACGAGGCCGAGATCCTCCGCCTCGCGCAGATGAACCAGCTAAACGGCAACCGTGATTCTGTTGGCCAGCTCCTCCGCGGCTTCTTCGAGTACTACGCCCAAAACGGCTCCATGAGCACATACCCAGGCCGGGGCTACGACTGGGGCCGCGATGTCCTCAGCATCCGGTCCCCGGGCGGCCTGCTCTCCAAGACGGAAAAGGGCTGGACGGGCGCCAAGACGGTCATCGAGTACCGCCCCAACGCAAACGCCGCCGTCAACTCCCCCAGCACCGACGGTCCTCCCCCCGGACTGCAGGGACAACACATGACCCTGAGATCACCCATTGACCCGCCTACCCCAACGACGATGACGACCACCAGCGGCACCATGAACACCACCGATAGCAGCGCGTCAGCGGCACTGTCAGCGGCAGCGCAGAAGAATGGCGAAGTCAAGGAAGTCCGGCACCGCTACCTCTTTGCCATCGAAGATCCCTTTGAGCTAGATCACAACGTCGCCCGCACGGTCACGCATAACGGCATCGTCGCCATCCGTGACGAATTCCGCCGGGCGTGGCGCATCATCAAGGCCGCTGGCTCCGGGAACTTTGGCGAGGAGCTGCTCCAGGATGTGGCGGCTGTCAAGGAAGAGGGCGAGAAGAGCACGTATTTGCAGCTGTTGGACGAGATTCACGGGTGGGAATTGTTTGAGTAGGTTGGGCTTTGCTGTGTTGAGATGTGTTGCATGAATCTGAGATTGAGTGTTCTGAAGTCCCGCCTAGGGCGTCACGTAGGACAGGAAGAGAGAAAAAGTATGTGCTCATGGGACGACGTCACGAAGTAAAAGGCAAAAAAAAAGTTTGAAAGTTGATTTGAATTTGTATTATTACTATCAAAAACAAAGCTGAATGAACAAAGCCGGTACAAGCCGACTATGGTCGAAAAACATGCCACACATACACATGAAATTACTTGAAGAGATGTTCGAAGGTTTCTCTTATCCCTCTCCCATCAGTCCCGGAGGCTGTGGCCGTCATGAAGACGACCGGAAGAGGGATCTTCTTTGAGTCGAAAATTTAATCTGCCAACGCTCCGTTCAAGACTTGTTCTGGGATGAACTGAGCCCCGGCTGTTCAGAAAACAGCATCGCTGGTGATGTTGAATGGGACAGAAGTCTGTCCCATTTCCATCGAGAGGAAATGAAAATGAGGTATATCAGTGAAGGAATACGCGCACACGCCATATTAAATGGCGGCCCGGTTGAAAAAGGTATCAAAGTTTTCATCATTCATGTCTAATACTGACCATGCTTTGTGTTGATGTTGTCAAGACCTACCAAAGCCTCAAATGTTTTTGGGTGCCGCCATCTTGGCCTTTCCACTCTTGCCGTTTAGCCCAGAACGCCGCGCTGAGATGCCGTCTCCCCCGTAGTATGCCACACACAAACTGGAACTCAATAAAAAAAAGAGAATCCTTGAGCCAGTCCAAGATAGGAAAAAGCAGAAAAAGAAGCTGTGCCAGGCGAATTGTAACCGAGACAATCCTTTGCACGCTCTCTCGCCGGATACCTTTTCAGTCCAGAATGTGTTGGTACAGAGGGGAGATTGATTCGCCGTAATGGTTACGGCGGATCGCCTCGGCAAGGAGGAAGGAGAGATCCAGGACGACGAGCTTGGGGCAACGCTTGGCCTGGTCCTCGGGGATGGGGAAGCTGTTGGTCACGAGAATGGTATCGATGCACTCGCATGCCTGCAGCTGATCGAGGCTGTCGCCGCCAAACACGCCGTGAGTGGCCATGCAGTACACCTTCTTGGCGCGTCCCTTCTTGACAACCGTCTCGGCTGCGGCGATCCACGAGTTGGGCTTGTCGATCATATCGTCAACAATGAAGACGGTTCTGTTCTTGACATCGCCGACCAGAGTGATCATGTGCTCGACCTTGGGGTCCTTCAAGACCTCGTCCTCTTCGTCCGACTCTGGGGCCGCGTCTCCAGAACCTCCCAAGGCATGGGGCTCGGGAGCGAAGAATGATGAGGCGTGCGACATTGTCATGGGGTCGTCGCCCTGGACGCTGCCACTGACGGTCGATGCAGCGGGCGATGGATAGTCGTCATCCACTATGTGACCCTGAACCAATCGTCCGTGCGTGACCTCCTGAGCGCGACGATCATCGTACTCTGCATCGTTCTCCTCGTCATCGTCAACCGACCGGTCACCAGGCTTGGACTGCGTGGGTGTCGTCGGCCGATCGTCCATAGATCGAGGGTGAGATCGAGGAGCGCTGGTGAACTGAGGAGAACCGTGTGCGTCGGTTCTAATCCTGGCAGCCCGGCCAGGCGCAGCAGGAGGTGTAGAGGGTCTCGCAATAGGTGGCTCACGTGTCGTCTCCAACACGGGCTGACGGTCAAGATTGTCCAGGTGGTGCATGATCATGCTCGATGTCATATTCGTTCCCTTCCGGTTCTTCTCTGTTGTGACCATGCCAAAGTTGAGCTTCAACGCGTCCGCAAGCGATGTTACACGCTTGGTTCCGCCTGCGTTCTTGGAAACGACAACGGCCTCCTTCCAGTTGGGCACGTTGTGACGAATCCATCTCGCAATGAGTGGCTCGGCGTGAAGATTGTCAACCGGGCACTTGAAGAAGCCCTGCATCTGGGAGGCGTGCAGGTCGACGGTAATGACGTGCTTAACGCCAGCCACGCCGAGGAGATTGGCAAGCATCCTAGCTGTGATCGCACCCCGGTGGGACTTCTTCTTCGACTGGCGACTGTAGGGGAAGTACGGAAGCACAGCTGAGAAGCGATTGCGTTAGCGATAGGGAAAGATCATGGGAGGATGTAAAGCTTACCAGTGATCTTGTTTGCCGAGCCGCCATTGCAGGCCGAGATCATGATCAACAACTCCATGATGGTGTCGTTGACCTTGGCGCTGCCGGACTGGACGACAAAGACATCCTTCTCGCGGACGCTGGTCAAGATTCGCACGCTCGTCTCGCCCTTTTGTGTGACGGGTCAGCCTCAACAGGGAGTCCAAACAAAGTTGGAATTGATCCAATCAAGGCAGTGGGAGCGGCCACGACTGCTGTTCCTCCCATGATTGTATCATGGGAGTTTGTGAGCAAGAACGCGGCGTCTCCCCCGCCCTTGGTGGTCGAACGGCCCAGCGATGCGCACTTTCAGCTTACATTGGAAAATTGGGTAAGCTCCGCCTGAGCAGGAGCCATACCCAAGTTCTCACATATCTGGTTAGTGAGAACTGGGCAGGAGGAGCCCGCGAAGATGAGAGTGCCGCGCATGTTGAAGAGAAGAATGCGAAAGGCGAAGAGATTTGGTTCGGGAGGTGGGGAGCTTTTATTACTGAGAAGGAAAAATTGAGTTGGACAAGGGGGCTGTTCAGCCGAAGAACGGGCACACGGAGCCAGGCGCCGCGGTGGGGTTCGAATGGACAGTGCAGGCACGTAGATTGGGCGGGAAAGAGCTACCATCACACTGTATTTATCCGGGCCGGAGATACCCCTTTGGAGTGAAGCGTCGCCTGGTGGGGCTTGTACGTACCGTGTGGCACGCACCGTGACCCCGCGATGAGTTTCTGCAGGAGCTCTCGGTCGTTCCTGCCCCATTATGGCAACTACTCGGAGAGACAGATAACTTGTGACACTCACTGTTTATGATTTAACAACCCATGGACTTCGTATGAGGGACAGGCTTGATGGAGATTGAATTGGTTTAGTCAAAGGATTTGAGCGAATTCCAAGCTGTTGGATCAATTGGGGAGACGCGTAGAAGTGACTCAAAAAATTAGGTCAGTGGAAGAGATTTTGCGGATGACTGGCTGCTTAAATCTCGAGACCATGTGTGAGCCAGCCTCCATACATGTTGTAGTTCTAATGTTAGTCCGTGAGACAGAATCATCGTACAATCATGGGAATTCCTCATCTTCTGAACCATCTCTCTCCTTATGGAGTGTTCGGGGCTCTCGATGGCGACAGAGTCGTCATTGATGGCCCTGCCTTGGCATACCATATCTACCATCTCTGCACAAGAAGCACTTCAGGTCTACCATCCTACGATCTGCTCGGAAGAACTGCAATAGGATGGTTAGAGGCTGTCACTAGTCACGACATATCCATGTAAACCTTTTTTCCCGAGCATCAAGAAACCTGAGCTGACGTTTAACAAGCTCCGCCATCTACTTTGACGGCTTCCTCCCAGCATCAAAAGCAGAAGTTCGCCTGGAGAGGATACTCAAGGTCTCTTCATCCCTCAAGGTCTTTCGCTCAGGGTTCCCTAATGGATGTCCAGCGAAACAAATCTCATCAACACGTCTCTCACTGCCACCTCTCTTCCCAACCGACGCCCCCAAACGAGACCAGCCCCTGATCCCACCACCAGCATTCCTTGTCGCAGCCATCGTCGACAAGCTAGAATCGACCGAAAAGTATGCATCTCTCGTCCGCCTGGTCCCCGGTGAAGCAGATTCCTACTGCGCAGAAGACGTCTTGCGCAACGGAGGAACTATCCTGACCTCAGATTCCGATCTGACCGTCCACGATTTGAAGACGGGATCCGTTGCCTTCTTCAGAGACCTCCACATCGGCACCACAGAGGACGACAAATCCGCTCTCCTGGGCCCCAAATTCTCACCCTCCGAGATTGCAAAACGCCTACAGCTACCAGAAGATCAAGGCATGCGCAGATTCGCCTACGAGCTCTTCAAGTCCACCCGGCCCAAATTTGCACAAGTCCTCGAAAACTGCAAGGGCGACATCTCAAACCCAGAAGAGTTCCGCGCCTTCTGCACACCATACGAGACCCTAGAGACCATAGACTGGAGCGCTGTGCCGGTACTAGGCAGCCTTGACAAACTCTACCTCGACGCAAGGCTCTCCGAGGTCGTCCTGCAGTGCGTGGGCTACTCCGGGGTAGCGAAGCCGCCCGCGGGCGAATCCGGCGCCGCGGGCTGCATGATGTGCCTCCCGCCCCTGCTAGACTGTCCGGCCCGCGCCAGTGCGTGGGACACCAGCGCCTCTGTACGGCAACTAGCGTACAGCCTCACCTGTCTTCTCCGCAAGGGCGCCGTTTCCCATGTGAGGGAGTACCGGAGAATGTCATCCGGCGTGAACCAGGGCAAGTACATGGCGATGCTGCCCCGGCCTTGGATCAAGGACTCGATGGATGCCCTCCTCAAGACCTTGACCAAGGCAAAAGCTAGCATAAGCCAAAAGGACTCGGCCTGGCAGGCGGTGAGCCTGCAGCTGATTCTCGCGCACGCGCAGGAAGAGGATAAGCTGGACGCGTGTCTGAACTCCATCAAGCTGGCTCAATCGGTGGCGGCAGACTCGAATCTCGTTCCGTGGGATGTGGTTCACTTGTCGGCACAGGTGCACGCGACGCTTTACTCTCTGCGTATCTTGGCCCAAGTTCTGGACCTCATGTTCGAGATCGGAGCCAAGGACCCGATCCAGGGCTCGAAGCAACTGCGCGAGTTGCTGTCCACGCTGCCATCCCTCACTGAATTTCCATCAGTCGACGGGACAATGCGCCTTCTTGCGAGTATGAAAAGTAGCGGCGCGCTGGGCAAGGTTGCCACGGCGCTGGGTATGCCCGCAGACCTCCTCTTGCCACCAAAAGAAGCCAAAAATCAGAAGAAGAAACGGAAGAAGATGGCTGATGCAGAGCCTCGGATGAGGCCCGAGAAGAAATTGTCTTCAAATCCCTTTGATATCCTGGGTAACGAATAACGAGGCCAAGGAAGCCCGTCACAGACGCCGCCTATCACTGTGGCATTTAGATTTGCATCCAATATGATTGAGGTAGCGAATACCTTGTGCCTGTAATCTCGATGGTAACGGTGTCATTATCCGTATCATACTACAACTATTCAAAACAGGGTTCCATCGTCATGAACCTGTGGGATGAAACCAGGGCACAGCCAACCTCTGCCCTCAGGGCAAGTGAAGATGACCTTCCCGTCTCCGCGTAACAAACCCATCTTGAACTGCCAGTCCGTCTTCACAGCGATGCCATTGATCCGCAGCCAGTACGCCAGTATACCTTCAGGCGTACAGCCCTCCTGGCCCTCTGGCTTCTTCTCCCTGGTCTTGGTATTAAAGCCCTTCCACTTCGCTGTCTCCTTCTCCAGAGTCCGCATGTGGATGAACTCGCGGTAGAGCGCGAGATAAGTGAACATCGCATTGGGGCGCCCAAAGGCGGTGATGTCTGTAACGCCTGCGCGTAATTCGCCATCGTGGAGCATGGCGTACCAGGTCCAATCCAGTGTAACGCGGGGTGCGAGGATGCCGTTACCAGGCACCTTGAGTGACGACAGGGCAGGCGAGTCGCCCCAGTACAGCAGATCAAGACGGCCCTTGTAGATGTAGTCGTAGGATATGCCCTCCTTGATCATGTAGCTCTGAACTTGCAGGCTGGCGAGGTACAGCGCCTTCCATTGGCTGAGCTGATGGTTAAGCTTATCGTTGCCACACTCCTTCACCAGCACCTCGGGAGGATCCACGGCGTTCTCCTTGACATCGTCCAGTTTGAGAATCTCCACAGTCTTGAGCGCGTCTCCGAAGCATGACTTGAGGTGCTTGGTTATGCTGTCCTTGTCCACTGGGTCACTGGAATCGTGCACGACATCTTCCAGGTACGTAAACACGTGTACATCAACACCGCCGCTTCCAGTCCAAGTCTTGACGAGCTTATTGTTCTGCTCCTTGCAAGTCTTCAGGTACGTGCGCAAGAAGCCAGTATACACGATCGCGAGACGTCCCATGTCATCTGTGGCGCGGTGAAGGAGGCACGTCGTCTTGCTTCCAGCGCGAATATGCAGCTTTCCAGAATCCAAAAGCTCTAGAACCGGCTTCTCGTCACCAGTCTCAATAGAAGCGCATTCAGGTAGGAGGTTCGAGATCCATGGCGTTGCGCCATACGGGGCAGCGGTCTCGTTGGCCCAGGAGAGCATCAGCACGCCCTCCTGTGTGAGCTCGACCTGCCATGCTACAGGCCAATGGTACTCGGTATCGGACGTAAACAGCTCGATCTCTGTTTTGGTGTCGAGGAGCGAGAGTGAACCGCTATCGAGGAGGTTGAGTTCGTAGCGCCCGTTCGGGGACGCGAGACGGAATGGCGACAGCGACTGGCCAGCTTCGAGCTTGGAGGCCTTCTTCGCATCGGGTTTCGCGCTTGTGGAGCCAGGAGTTGGCTTCGGGGGCGCGTCGGCTATGCTCTGTGTTGTAGCGATAGAAGCCAAGGATGTGATCACATTGTTGACATGATCGTCAATGGGGCCATTCGGTTTACCGGCACCGGTCGAAACATCTTTGCCGTCGTTCGTTGGGGTGTTGTGGCCGACCTGGGTGGGCACATTGTAGCCTACATGGGGTAGCTGGGGAACTAGGAAGATTGCCGCGATGAGGAAGACGGCGGCCACGATGGCCAGCCGCGTGCAAGTACCGCTTGGCATCTTTCAATGAGTTGTGTTGTTTCTTGAAAGGTTATCCATCGCTGTGAATTGTCACAGCATTGATTTGCGCCTTCTGCTTGTGATGAAAGGGGCCTGCCGAGGCGTCTGAATCTCACAGCGGCACGGCGGCAGGTTCGCGAGGGCCAAGCACATCGCTTGGAGCTTATCGCTTATCGGAGCTTGGGCAAGCATAAAGCTACACAATTCCGCACTCAAACTCCCCAATCCCGCTTACTTGCATATCAGTGTCATCTCATCATCAGATACGCAATGACTACCAGACACGCGAGTGCGAGTGAGAGTGAGAGCGTCTGTGATGACCCAAGCCTGATGATCTCATTTTACCATGTGATACATTTCGTAATTGCCTAGGGAGACAATGAGCACCTCATCATCAAATGGGCAGGATATCTTGAACACCGAGTTCTTCATCCGAAATTTCTAGATCATTCTTGGAGATTGTTTGAACGCGATGTTCGCTGAGTGGTAGTTATTTGCTGTCCATAACAACATATGCCTATCTTATTAAGTTCATTTCTTTCGGTTATATCCATGGATGGCAAGTTGGTAGTACATTTCAGAACTTCATGAAAGGTGTCATGAACGGTAACAGGGCCGAAGGCCTTGGCCGAACTCATGAATCAAAGGGTATGCGAAATATTTCTGTGCTATGGTTCCCGTTCTATGTCCCAACAGTCCGGAGAGGAACATGTTCAGCGCTGTCATCGAGTCCAGTGGTCACAGCAACAGCCTCGTAGCCGGCCGGTAATCGTCCCTCCAAACCTGACTTCATTCCAACTATAGACACATTAGTACTACGCCAAAAGTAAGCCACATGACGGGAGAATAAGCATAGACTTACAGATACACATGTACAGAAACTCCACGACTACTGGGATCCACGTTGCTAAAGCAACAATTTGTCCTAAGCTCCAGCTTTGCCGATCACTAGGACGCCCTGTAATGTCTAATGTCCTCCTTCGGACGCGGTACAGCAGGAAGAGCAGGTACCAAATCAAGGCGAGGAGGACCAGTAACACAAAATATGTACTTTGGAAATCAAAGTAGCGAGATGTTGATTCAGCCTCTCTCCGGGACTGCTACTCCCAAAGGCTCGCACTCTCCCATCAGCTCGACTCAAAGGCCAGGTGTTGGATCGATAATCGGGGCCACGGTCTTGTCGCAAAGAAGGTGTTTCTGTCTTTCGTTTTCTCGGTATCGTTTTGAGCCATGTCGGCACGAAATAGAAGATGAGGATTGCATTCAGTACCGACCACAGAACCGTTATGGTCACATACGATTCTCGCGAAGAGCGCACGATAGTCTCTTTGGTACCTTTTAGACAACCCAACATTTGGAAAGTCTCCCATAATTCCACCATGTGATTCGAATAATGCCGATCCCGGGGGCCATACGTGAAAAAGGTCGCATATAAAGAAAAGGCGTACAGCACAACCAATACCGAGCATCCGAGATACAGTCGCCGCCCTCCCCAGGTTTCCGACAAGAAGGTGTAGATCAGTATCACAGGACAAAGACTGAAGAATGCCGAGAACTGCGCTGCCTCCAGATCGTTGACTATGAGACTATCGCCGAGATGCCAGGCATCGATCGTTCCCTCAAAGTCGTCCGAGTGAGCCCCAACGATAATGGTGCCGGATAGCGTCGCTAGACAAATGACCGCCCCAGCGTCAAAGAGGCTCTTTGTGCAAGCGGAAGCCGCTTCGTAGAATCGAGAAGTAAGACCAGGTACCTTGGAAACTTTGCTGGCGTACCTATGCTCGACGAGGCGACCTAAGATGATCAGAAAGCTGAAGATTGTTGCAAGGATTCCCTCGCTATAGTATGAGGCCATGATCTAGACCCGCGGTTAGACCACTGATACGTCACTAGAATTTGCAATATCTTGGGAATTTCAAAGGCATAATTTTCCCATGAAATTTGGGAATTCAAGGATGTACCTACCCCGATTCCAACAATATCACCATCCATTTCGAAGTCGAGATTGGAGCAAAGCTCCACAGCGCACTCCTCATCAAAGCTCCCCATTTCAGTTCTGTTTACCCAGATCGGGAGGAAACTAGGCGGTTCGCGCATTTGTGAAAGGGCCCAGGTATCGGGCTCGTTCGCAGTGAGATTGTCGTACCATCCGATGAGTTGAGCTCTCGATGGTAGTATCGTCGACGCATCATTATGTCTAAGTGCATCGATCAGATACGCCTCCACGTCTGTTATTGGAACTCTTTGAGCCCCATGACGAAGATATGGTGCTGCGAACGCGCCGTAAGTTGTACAGTTGTTGATGAAGTCGACGGGTTGAAGTGACGGCGCCGTCCACGACTCGGTTGGTTGCAGTCGGCTCATCCGCTTAACTTTTCGCTCAAAGTAGATCGTCAAATGCAGTTGAGATGTTCCAAGAGACTGAAGTTCAATTCCTTGCAAAGTCCGATCACAGATTCATGAATGTGTTTCACAAGGAGGCCTTCGCATGGACTCATTCTCCTTTTGATGGCCGCCAAGCTTCCTTTTTGGAGCAGCTGTGAGATACGTAGGTAGTCTGTATGAAGGATAGGCAGCCATATACGACCCTTGATCACAGCTTTTGATTCGCCGACAACTATAAGATCGTCATTTAGCAGGTTCAGCACCCAACTGTGCCACATCCTACGCATACTAATTATAGAAGACAGTGTCCTGTGATGTCCAGTTCAGGCCAAGGCTTGTCGTTTAGATGCAAGTGAGATGCCACATTGATTGTATTAGGACTAGATTCAGCACCGTTAAGTGTCGTTCCCCGCTTCACTCACACCACTTTCAGAAACACTCGACATTGGAACACCAAGAGCTACTTAACTTCCTTGCTATCGTAGAAATCGAAGCTTTGCGCATTTTCCTACCGCGGCAGCAAAGGCATTATTGCAAATTACTGGTATCCCATTAACTATTGGATAGCGCCATTACATCCGTCTCTAATCTTTCTCTAATTTTGCTCTATTCGAGATTATTTATAGGCGGATGTAAGGGAAATAAAGTTAGATTATTAGATCATTCATCCCCCCCTATCAAAGTACGTGTCTACGTACTAACGCCATCTGGCAGTTGATGGGACAACTCTGATGTGGGGAAATCGAGAGGTTTCCTAATGCATTGAAACTTCGAAACGCTACACTGTCTTCCATGTATTCAATACTTGGAGATGTTGTTGCTATTCTACCGGGAGAAGGAAAAAAAAATCTTCCTAAGAAAGCGTCGGTCGTGGACGAAACAACCAGGTCTCATCTATCTTGATGCTCTGAGTTCAATATTGAGCTATGATATCGCTAAGTGATACTCTGTCCCTAAATTCCGTTCCAGACGGTGATTGCCAGTGAATTCAAGGCATACATTGCAGTAATAGACTGATTGAAGTTACCATATGTACGTTTCGTCGATAAAGGTGATCGGAATGGGTGCCCGCAGTGCAAGTTCGCTCACAAGGCAGCGAGCTTCATCCACCATTGGCGCAGGGCCACTGACGACGACCGCCAAACTGCCATCTGCATTTCCGATTTCTTCTTCCAAAACCGCTTGAAGCCTGAACCTGTTGCCGATAGAAACATTTGCATCAGCGCCGGTTAGATCGACACTCTGAACAAGCCCTTCAGTTCGTGAAGACCAGTACAGTTTCGCAGTTCCGGGATAAGTCTGCAATACTGGAGTCACAGCTGTGATGGCAACACCTCCTATGATACAGACAAGTCTCTGATATTTGCTGAGGTCGTGGTGTGGAAGGTATCCTGCCTCGACAAAGACTGGTACCCGAGTGTGAGAGCGAAGCATTCCTGTTGCCCCAGTGAAGGATCTAACCAGGAACGACAGCCCAACACGGGACTTTTCCTTGAGGGGGGCCACCTCCATGACACTCGACTCTTTTGAGTAGGAGTTGCTCGAACTCTGAGGGGGCATGATACTGTTCATCGACTTTGCTGAAGCAGGCTTCACTCTGGAGGCCAAAATAGAGAACGGGTGGCTCTCCCAAGGTCGCCATGTAAGTGATGGGAAGTAGAGGTAGGCATGTCCCCTCCCCAATGCGCCGTCGATATCCAGCTGCATGTACTCCTCGTCGATGATGGTGATGTCCGCCCACATCAAACCATTTCTTGCCATTCGGATCACTCTTGCCACCCGGTCGAATCCCCAAACGGCGAAGCAGATGTACATCCAGATCTCATAGCCCCACTGGTTTTGGAATCTGTAGACAATGTGTAGGTAAGATCCGACCACGGCGAAGACAGCGAGTACGATGTGTACAGCTAAGAAGAGCTCATATAGCTTAGCGCGGAAGGGGATGGCCGAAGCCGGCAATAGTATACTCATGGCCAGCGTGCCAATGATACCCCAGACCCAATAGGGCAGCTTTGCTTCGATATCATGCTGACCCATGCTGACGTAGATCTGAAGCCAAGCTGCCGAGTGAAGGCAGGCCTGGAGAGTACAAAAATACGCCGTCCACCGATGCAAGAGCATGAAAGTGGACTGGGTCCAGTCCGTAACCCAATACAAGAAGTTGTTCCTCCCGGCGTAGAGGATGAGCAGCGGTAGATTGGCAAAGCTCAAGACTCCCACGCGGTTGCTGAAGGATGTCAAGAGCTCCTGGTCCCTGTCGTTGACCCACCAGGCATTTGGTTGGGCCGAGTCGTAGCCAACACCACTGAGGACGACGTTGATGGCTACCATGTAAGAGATCAGTATCGCCTGACCACGTGTGGGCATGATCAGCAGGTTAAAATAAGGAGCCTTGTGTCTCCGCCCAAACAACGGTGGGTCAATGAAGACGGCGTGGATCTTGGAGATAAGCAACTTGGGCAACGGGATGAATCGAAGCAAAGAGAAGAAAATCGGGACTGCCGCGCCAAGCGCGATCAGGATGAGACTTTTACAAGGTTAGCAAGATTACATCCTAGAACGTATAAAGCAGGACCTACCCGTATTTCTCGTGGGCAACCTCCATCTTCTCAAACATCCCCATGGTGTTGTACTGTACTTGGTAGTCTGCATCTGAAACCAGAGACTTTTCATTCAGTGGCATAGCAAACACCACAGTGGCTGTAGGGGTTCCATTAACGTTGATGAGTGCCTCCTGGTAGGTCCACTTCGGAGGCGGAGGATAGGCGTTGACATTGACACCTGGTTCGTCAAGTCTCCTGTGACTATTCCGAATGCTTGCTTCTGTTGACTGCCAATACTTTTCTATCTCCCATATTGGGAGATCAGTACATCTCTATGGCGAACGTGCTAATCAGCAGTCTATTTCGGTCGTTACAGAGAACCTCACTCACCGTGTGAATGCACCATGCGAAAGAAGTAAGGAAGGCGTTGTCGTTGGCATAGCACTCCGGAGATGTATCAGCCATGGTCATGCCGTGAACTTCCATCACGTTGCTGCAGTTAAGCGGACTGGCTGAGAGCGCCACACGGCATGAGTACGCACACAGGGGCTCAAAAGGGAGTTAGTGCATGATAATCCACGACGTCGAATACAACAACTAACCTGGTACATGGTGATACCATAGCCAATTAGTCCTTGTCCTGCGATGCCCGCCTCTTTCGCAACCACGCCGCCGACCATGCCTGCGGCCGCCAAAACAACGGCCGCATGGCCCGGTAGCGAAAGCATTCTCATAGACTGGGCGGCGTCCAACGAATGTAGCCACATACGTAGTCTTGATCGGGCTAGGAGCTATCCAAAACTCTGCTTGATGCGTCGAAACGAATGTGTCCAAAGATTCGGAATCGGTCTCGGTTTACTCGTGCTTGGATCGTGGACAAACCCAACCCCGTCTTGTGGGCGTTCGATGTCTTTCATAGGACTGAGCCCAAACAGGCGCATGCTTTACCAAGATCCTGTGCCGAGGTGCCGGCTCTACGAGCCACTGACCATCGTCACTGAACCATACAGAAATCGATGGACTAGGAAACACCGATCTTTGCCAAGTCCCGGTGCCAAGCCCGATCAATTTGGGATGAGTTCTGTCATCCAATGAGTTTCTCCGGGTTCTATGGTCGATTTGCCGGTGGTTCGCGGTGTCAATCCCGATTCCCCGACCCGAGCTCAACCTCAATTCCCGGTCCTATAACTGAGCCAGTGGGATGACTCCGCCTTCCTAATCAAGCCTTACGAGTTTCGGAGCAATGTTGTAACCAATGTCAAATCTTAAGCTTATAGTGAATATTTGGGGATCTGGCCGTGAAACATTTGGGTTCCCTTCTTTTGAAGAGGAAACGACGATTAATGTGTCGGGGAGTGTAGCGGAACGCTCTTTCACCTCGTGATTTCCTCAGATTATACAGCATTGAACAATGGAATTGATGGGCTAGTAGAATATTTGAGCATGGCCATGAACTACCGTAGTATTTTCATGATAATCTATGATCTGATGTTTCTAAGGTAATGTAGGCATTAACTAAATTGCTGACGCAGAGGTTATTGGTTTTGTGACCTTGAGCTCGCCTAAATGGGCTTTCTGAGTTTCTGCTGATATCTATCTACTAGGACCAAACAAGTAAATAGCACCTATGTACTGGTCTCACAAATAGCAAAATGGCACGCTTGTCATTTACCGGCAACTAAGTGAAGTAGATACGGGGTTTTTTAGACCGTATCACTTCCTCAAGTGCTTCTCAGATGTTATTTAATGTTCAGACTCTGGAAAGAGTAGAAAAGTGTCTTACATCATAAGCCAAGTCTTTCACAAGGCTTCGCCAGTTTTTTGTGCTTATATTGTTGGTAAACTGTCTCTATGTACAGTCAACGCCACTGGCGAAAAAGGGCTCTCGTGTACTGATATACATCGAAGCCGGAGCTTTACTTGGTTATTGGGCCAGGCTATATCACTTTTCGGGCTGGCTCTTCTGTTCCTTTGCATCGTCAAATATCCTCTTCTCCTTTTTGACGTTCTTCCACTCCAAGAGAATCGCAAACAGGAGAGAGATCGCGGCTAAGATCATGGCCAGCATGAAGGTTCTTGTCAACGAAGTGTTGACCTTATCCAAAGCACTGTTATACTCGGAGGTACCGTTCCCGAAAATCTTTTGCAAGTTCTCCTTGATCTGTGTTGCACCTCCATCGCCGTAAATCTTGGCAGCGACTGAATTACCAAGATTCTTGGAGAGTTCTTGCTGGAAAACACTCTGCGCAATAGGCACCGAAAGAGCGACTCCTAAGAGTCTCGTGAAAAGTGTCAGACTCGTACCCTTGGGAATCTTTTCATTGGGCAGTACTGTCTGGACGGCGACGTTGGCCTGTTCGGCTCCGACACCGACGCCAGCTCCGACTAAGATCTGAGCCCCAACGCTAAAAGATGGTATCAGTCATCTGAAGGATCAAGGGAACATGATTGGAAGAGCTTACAGTATGCCAAGTGCAGCATCAGCTTTGATGGTCATTAGGAGTGCAGAACCGGCTGTGACTAAAACGGAACCCGCAATCACGAATGGGTTGTAGAAACCAATCGCCATGACAAGGCCTCCAGCTGCAATTGAACCGACGGCGGTGCTAATGCAGAGTGCCAGCTGTTTCAAGCCAGAAGATTCAGCGTCATCTCCCCGAATAGATTGGAACCTGATAGTCTCCATGTTAACAACAGAACTTGGACAGGTGCTTGTTTCCAAAACCTACCAAACAGGCAGATAAAAGATAAAGACACCAAAGGCTCCGTTCAAAAAGAGCAAGTAAAGATTAGAAGACGCAACGGAGCGCTGCTTAACAATGCTGAGAGGTACTGTGGCATCATCGCCCTGGAAGTACTGTAGTGCCATCCACGGGAGGAGATTGACGCCGAACACAATCAAGACTGCAATAACGCGCGCGTCGTTCCATGGGTACTCGCCGCCGCCCCATTGTAAGGCCAGCATCAGACAGACCAGAGAAGCTAGTAAAAGAGTAGTACCGAGAAGATCAAACTTCTTTGCCAGTTGAATAGGGGTCATGGAGTTGAGCTCTGTGGAGGTCCGGCAGAGGGATGGGGGCAAACAGAAAATGACGACCGCGACTACTACAGCTCCAATCGGAAGATTGACTGTTCTAATTAGATAAAGACCTGGCGATGTGGAGAAGAAGAAGAAAGCTTACAGTAAAAGCACCATCTCCAAGAGGCTCTCTGCGTGATGGCACCGCCTACAGAAACGTCAGAATTGCGCCCAGATCGCGATATATAACCAGCGACGTACCCATGATAGGCCCGATAACACTGGCTATGGCATACGCAGCACCAAATAAACCAGCAAACAGACTTCGCTTTCTAAGCGGCGTGATGCGAGCAATGACGATGAATGAGCCGCCGAATACCCCTGCCATGCCTACACCCTGGATAGCTCTACCGATGATCAAGGCAACTGACGTCGGCGCAGAGCCACAAACTGCGCTACCAGCGAGATAGATAACCACCGAAGTCAAGAATGTCCATTTATTATTGAAGAGTGAGTACGCTTGACCGAAGGGAAGTTGTAACGCAACAGCCGTGATCTGTTCTCCCGTGCTGTACCAAGCAATGTCGTCGGAACTGTTGAAGACGCTCGTGATGGTCGGGATTGCTGTTGCAAGAACTGTCTGACTAACGGCTACGATGAAGACCGAGCAAAACAGCGCAAAGACAATGAGCCCCAGCTGAACACCTGTCGGGTATGGTGGCTCATCTGCCTCGGGTTCGGGTTCCGTCTTCTCTTGCGATTCGGTCGTACCGGTCGAATCGTCGCTGCCTTTCATGCTGCTAGCCAGCGAGGATCCGTTCGCTAGAGCTTCGCTGGACTGCCATTCTTTCTTTAGGGGATCTCCGAGACTTTCAGGGCGCGACATGGTTGATAGAATTCTGGTAGAGCGTTCAGGAGTAGTAAAATAGTTGAGCTTGAATTAACTGAAAGAGAACTTTGAAGCCAAGATCTAATATTGGCATGAAAACAACCAGTAGTAGGAAAATATGAGGTGAAGAGTATAGTTGGTAATTAGGTACCTTTATTCTAAATTCTAATGGCTTTGGTGGTGTTGCCATCGCGATTCATAGCCCAACTGGGTTCGCCGATGATCATGGCTGCGTTGCCGGGGACCGGGGCCAGGCTTTGACCTCGAGTTTCCGCGCATCTGCTGCCCACTTGAGTGTATTTCTGAGACTGTAATTGTCACTAGCCATGACCAGGATGAATAATATCTGTACTTTTAGAGTTTTGACAGAGCGGAGATACCAATCAGCTTGCTTGCACATATTGGCAACCAGGGAAAACCGCTATTTCTCATGATTCATCGCCGATCGTATTGTCCTAATCGAGTATACGAGAGTCCTATTATGGAAAGACCAGGAGCAGAGAACGTTACCTTCACACTGGACCGAGCGCTGTCTATCAGTTTCGACAGCTAAACTTTTCTCGTCTGCGATACCCAATAAAACATAAGAAGTCGGGAAACCCACATACTCAACTTATGCTCGATCCAAACGCCAGAACAAGATGCCTAGATCGCGATATCCACAGCTCGTGTTTTATGTTCTTACTCCATAGGGTAAGTTGCTAGTATTGAACGAGTGCATGAGGGCATACAGCAAAACCTCGGCTCGACTTGCCTACAAGGTCCTACTTGGCTCTCACGGTCTAGCTTTCGGTCCCAGAGCCCAAGATCTTGATTTACTTCATCAAGGACAACGTAATACGATCAAATATGGAGACTGAATTATGGAACTGGTAGAATGTGCTAATAATTACGATAGATGAATAAAATAGCCCATTGCCTAAACCTCCAAAATCTGTGTCTGTACAAGTATGGCTTGTTCATTAACCTCCCACAACCTTAGTGCTGTCACGATAGCTTCAAATTTTCAATCATGCCTCAGAAATAATTGACAGAGTTGACTATCTTAAAAGAAGAAAATATGCAAAATCAATTCAGGTGCTAGGCGGGGGGTCCACGAGACAAACAATCCGCTAGTGCTCATCCTCCAATCCGACCATTTTCAATGAATCAGCCCAGAGCTTCTTCTCTCCCTCTTCATCAAATGCCCACGACTTGAATCCATATCCGGCCCAGTTGGTATCATCGGGAATGGGCTTGCTAACACCACAGTCCTCCATGTAGAACCCGCCAACGCCATCGTACTGCTTACCGACACACGCTAGCACACTTGTAGCAGCACCTTGCTGAACGCTCTTCCACACCTTTCTGATGTGAGGCATCTGGATAAGTTTCTCCAGCATTTTGCGAGTCTCCTCGTCCGAAGACTCCATCAAGCCACTGCCGAAGCCACCGGGATGGATGCTGATGGCGTGAATGCCGTCAGATCCGTAGCGGCGCTCGACTTCGTTGCAAAACCATATCTTTGCCGTATTGGAGTGGGCGTAAGATATACCAGGCTCGTAGCCCTTACCGTTGGGGTTCGACGTGTCGTAATTGTTCTCCGGAAGGACAGTTGAGGCTGTGTGAGATGTGCTGGAGGTGGTGACGACCCGCACATTCACGTTATTGTTCGCAGCCGTGTCCAGTAGGAGAGGCTTGAGAAGGTGGAAGAGGTAAAAGTGCGCGAGGTAGTTGACACCAAACTGCTGCTCGTACCCTTCTTCCGTGTAGCCGCGCGGTGTTGCCGCAATGCCTTAAAGAAAGCTGAAGTTAGCGACGAAGCGCAGCGCCTGAAAGATGGCGATATCACCTACCAGCATTATTGACGAGAATATCCAATCGCGCAGTGTTATCTAGAACATGTTCGGCGCCTTTCTTAACACTCTTCAAGCTACTCAGCTCCATTTCCACAACCTCTAGCTTGAGGCCGGCATCCTCACTTTGCAGCTGGGCTTTGACTTTCTCGCCCTTCGCGAGATTACGCGAGGTGAAGAAAACCCTCATACCGGTCTTGGCTAGATGCCGAACGATCTCAAGGCCTATGCCATTGGTGCCACCAGTGACTAATGCTACCATATCGTCCAGCTTGCCAAGTAGACCCTCGTCTTCGATGATTTGGAGCGCAGTCGGGCGAGCATCGCCTTCACCCTGGGGATTGGCATGGGCCGCAGCGTAGCGGTTGGGGATCTGAGGCAGGTTGGGAATGTAAGGCATGTTGAAGTATGTTTCCTGAGCTTCTTCGGTGGCTGTATCTTGACTATTTTGCGTCAGCGAAGCTTGACTAGAAGAGCTAGGACGACGTGTGCTTGGCGTTTGCGAAGTTTGGCTGGAAGCACTGGGGCGTCGCGTGCTTTGAGTGACAAGGTCTTGGCAATATGTATCTTGACGAATGGAACTGCAACGGAAAGAAGTCTTTGTCAATGAAGAGAGGTTTTTGACTCGGGGGATGTGCACCATGACCAAGGTAGGTGGGTTGCTCTATTTCTTTACATTCTTTATTTGACTCGTTGCAGAGTTACCAGTCCCTCGGGATGCGCGGCAACAGGGCTATCTAGAGTCATTTTCTCAGCATTAATGCCGGGAATTGAAGGACAATTGTGGCCCAAGTTGAACCGGAAATGCTCATGGGACTTTTACGGGTACAGGCGTTTACGAAGCGTTCTCAAAAGGCTCTGACTTCCCGGGTGGACTGAACATCAGACAATTGGCACTGGATCGATCTTGTGCGTATCAATCTACTAGGAAAACATAACCGGAAGCATAGATGAATCGCGAAGGGGTTCGGTGATGCATCATTTGATCAGGGACGAAGCTTTGGAATCATGTCAAGCCGAGCAACACTCCTGGACTCCATTTCACCCGAAGACAAAAGACGAACCCACTGGATATCAACTCGCATACTGCAGTTGAGGTCACCGGCAACTGGTTTACCGGCGGATAGTGACCGCGCAGGGTTCTCCGACCGGCAATGGTTGGGGACGCATTGCCCAACTAGGCAAATTTGATGGGGGACTGACCAATGATGGCTGACTACGGCATCTCGAAACTCTAAATTAATGGAGTGAGTCGAGGTCCGGCCCGTTTTTGTTTCCTCGGGGCTTGAGTTGAATGCTAAAGAAGTATTTGCTTGTACAGACGGCAAAGCAAAGGCGTAAATAATCCGCGGATCGCCCTGCTTGGTGGTATTAAGAGTGTTACTAGCCGGGAAATGAACGGAGAGTCTCTGATAGTGGCGTCTCGAGGAACTCTTGAGATGTCCTTATTACCGGCCAAGTGAGGATTGGTGTATGTTGACCAACCTCGTACGGAGTCCTACTTGCGGGTTCCAGGTTCGGTGTAAACTTTAGGTTTGAGTGTCACTCGCCTTTATTCCCCGAGTGAAGGGAACCGTCGACTGATTAAATGCAAGACTGACATTCCCACCCTCCGCTTTCCACTGACTCCGCTACTAGGTAGTGAATCACCACTCTTCCCAAAAGATCCAGTCTCATACTCGTCGTAGCAAGTTATCATTGTTTTCTGCAAACATGCCTCATTCCACTCAGAAGCCAGAGTCCGTCGAGGCCTATGTCAACTACCACCAACCGCCCCCTAAGGGCGAGGCATTCCCCGTGCAAATGATCGCCACCGTGGGCTTTCAGCGCACCAAGTACAATCGGCAGCTCGTCACGGTTACAGACATACGGAAATGCGACGAAGAGTTCAGTCTCGATATTCAGGGCTTCAAGGTTGTGGAGAGCACTGTTCAAGAAAGGGGCTGGGAGGGGGACTACCGATTTGGTCTCCCCGACCAGCTTCGGAAGGATATTCAAGAGCTCTTGATGAGACAGTAAGACTATACAAGTTCTATTTACGATGCAAACGGATTAACAAACTATGTAGCTCCGGTGCTACATATGTTCACCCATTTGCCCCTCATGTGATACGCCGAGATCCTCACGAGAAGATCCTTAACATCCCGGATGACCTTCCTGACTCCCAAGTCCTAAACATGCAGCCACCCGCCATGTTCATTCACGTCGGTGAGTGAAGTCGCTTAATGGCCATTACAGAACACAGTACTCACGCAGACTAGATCAATCATACAAGGGCGCGGAAGTGGTGCTTGATCGGCTTCCTGAAGCTGAGATGCTTCGTGCTAAGACGAAGACCCGTTGGGGAATCATCAACGTCTGGCACCCACTCAAGTTGGTGCAACGTGAGCCACTGGCAGTCTGTGATGCGCGGAGCGTCGAGGAGTCTGACCTTCGGCCTGTCACTACTCGCATTGTCCTTGGAAAGCCGCCCAACATCATCAACAAAGATAATGAGCAGTGGCATATGATATCGAGCCCTCAGCATAAGTGGTACTATGCTAGCAACATGACCCCAGATGAGGCACTGTTGATCAAGATCTTTGACACCAAGGTAGATGGAAGAGCTAGACGTGTGCCGCACACTGCAATCCAGACACCTAAGGATGCTGGACAGCCACGGGAGAGTATTGAGATCAGATGCCTTGTATTCTGGGAGGATCAGGAATTGGAGTAGAAAAGCTTGTCAGCGTATGGATTCAGTGGTTAGAAAGATATGTGAATTGAGAGGACCGAAAGGAATAAAAAAAACTATCAAGATTAGGCAAGGCTGGTAGTTTCGAGGTAGTTGACGTGGAGCAAAACTGCTGCGATGACCGACGTAACTGGGTTCTCCGATTCGATTCGCATCTGAACATACAGCGGGTTTGCGTTGCAATTGCAGACTCATCTTTGCTCCAGAATTGAATTGTTAAGAAGCTTGCAAAATTTCATGTTGTATTGCGTGATTGGAGTTCATCGGTACTTCAGTTGTCGTGAGGTACCTAGATTTACCTAGGCAGAAAGCATTGATGATGCAGGCAAACTTCAAAG